CTGGAGTAATGATGCTGAAAATTCAGCTTTGATCACAGGAATAAATTACACTTTACTGTATATTCACATAGAAAACAGCTGTTTTAACTTGTAATAATATTTCACAATATTACTGTTTTTACTGTATTTTGGATCAAATAAATGCAGGCTTGATAATCAGAAGAAACTTATTTCAAAAGCATTAATACCTCTTAAGGCTCAAGGGTTTAACCCGACTGAAGATCGTGGCGTTGGACTCTCGAGGTGCGTCTCAGCACTGGCCGGTAGAGAATATTAATAGCAGTGAGCTCAAGACTGTCAAATGAATCATTGCAATGCATTGTGGGTGTTATTTTTACCAGCAAAGAACAGGCAAGAATGAGATTCTGCTGTCATGTCTTCTATTAAAGTCATAAAGTCTGTATGTGATCAGATCTTATCTCTTCCTTACAGGAAAAGTTCTGGTGCACTGCATCATGGGAATGAGCCGGTCCTCATCACTAGTGCTGGCGTACCTGATGCTCTATCACGACATGCCTCTGCACACGGCCTTACGGCGCATCGTCCAGAAACGAGCCATTTATCCCAACAGAAACTTCCTGGCTCTGCTCCTGGATCTGGACCTGCAGAGGAAGAGGAAACACAGGAGATGTGTTCTGCTGTGAACCAACAACTACAGGACCCATCACATGATGAACGATCATAACACCACGTCCTAACCAGGCCAGAGACGTGACAAGTGATTTGTCTCTCTGCACTGAACAAGAGAGCATAAATGCTGCCGAATTAATATGCATTATACCATGGTCTGGGTGAATACTCGATTCTGATTGGCTGCAGGGTGTCCATTAAAAAGTGATAGAGGACACCTAGTGAAAGAGTTCTGGTGAAACTGACTGTTTACCGTTCGAAATTAATAAATAAATGCGCTGGCTATATCAGCTGTGAGTAACCATAGCAACAGGCAGTCAAAGTATCCGTTTACTATTTATTGTATCAAAACAAACATCTAGTTAGCCGTTATATTATATGCCTACCTGTGTGTTTTAATTATAGGTTAAAAAAAAAACGAAAGTGTAACGCCCATGGCTAGACAAGCCTAACTTACATGAAAAAAAAAAATACGTTAAATTTCTGGCTCGCAAGTTAGCTAAACTGAAGGCTTCTACGAGCGGAGCGCACTATAAATATCTCCGGTTGCTAAATAAACCGTCAGGCGTAACCAGGGAAACCAAGTTATTGTTTGTAAAAACTTTAGATTTCGATTGTAAAACTAATTAAAATATAGACTAATGTTTTAAAAGTGTGTTATTTGGCAAGTGACCATGGTATAAGCGGGTTAATGCCCTTCGAGGTGTCCATTGTCTAGGTATTAATGGACTTCGGCGGAGGCAATAACCGTTCACGCCTCGCCGTCGTCCATTATCACAATGGACAAGCCTATTGGACACCTATGGACACCTCGTCGGGCATTAACCCTTAGCTGCTACATAATGACGAGCTGGAATTTGGACCAATGAGATTTGACTGTGGGTGAAGCTACATAATACAAGAATCTAGTTAAAATGGACTATCGCAGCAGTCAAAAATTATATATATACATCCATATTTATCTTATGAAGGCTTGAACATGCACTTCATATGCAAACATGCATTTTTAGAGAGTATAAGTGTAATACAGAGAGATAGTCGGTGAAAAGTGAAATGTGCAAGGGATTAATTTAAAGGGCCGTTTAGTATATACACTCACTCTTAAACTCACGCTCAGACAAACACAACACACTACCTCTATGTACAGCGAACTCTGGACCATCACACACACACACACACACACACACACACACACACACACACACACACACACACACACACACACACACACACACACACACAACAGGACCAAAACACCACAGGATCATGCAAATGTGACATTCACTACCATTCAAATGTTTGGGGGTCAGCAATTTCAAAGTCAGCCGTTTTAATGTTTTCAGAGAAGTCCCTTCTATTTTATGGAAAAAAAAACAGTAAATATTTTTTCAGTTTAAAATAACTGTTTACTTTTTTTTAATATTTTTTTAAACTGTAATTATTCCTGTGATCAAAGCTGAATTTTCAGCATCATTACTTCAGTCTTCAGTGTCACATGATCCTTCAGAAATCAGTATAATATGATGATTTGATGCTCAGGAAACATTTATGAGATTATTATCAATGTTGAAAACAGTGGTGCTGCTTTTTTTGTGGAAACTGTGAAACATTTTTCAGGATTCTTTGATGAATAGAAATTTTAAAAGAACAGCATTTATTTGAAATCGAATCTTTTGTAACATTATAAATGTCTTTACTGTCACTTCCGAACAATTGCTGAATAAAAGTATTCTTTTTTCAAAATCAAACAAATCTTTCAGACCTCAATCTTTTCAACAATAGTGTTAATATATATGTTGCAACTGTCAAAATAACATGCACTCATTAATTGTTCACAATAAACCAACATGCATTAAAGTAAATAAAGCCAATCTTGAGTTTATGTTGACTTTCAGAACTCTTGATAATTTACTGTACATATTATTTCTATAGTTCTGTACACTTTGATTCTTTGAATACATATATTTTTGAATAATAATAATAATAATTCATCACATTTATATAGCGCTTTTCTGGACACTCAAAGCGCTTCACATAGAAGGGGGGAATCTCCTCAACCACCACCAATGTGCAGCATCCACCTGGATGATGCGACGGCAGCCATATTGCGCCAGAACGCCCACCACACACCAGCTTACTGGTGGAGAGGAGACAGAGTGATGAAGCCAATTGGTATATATATATGGGGATGATTAGGAGGCCATGATGGACAGAGGCCACTGGGCAAATTTGGCCAGGATGCCGGGGTTACACCCCTACGAATGAAATAAACAGGTTATTATGAATAGAAAGCAGCTGTGCAGCAAAGCAAATGAACTCACTTGTGTTGACTTTGAAACTCTAGATGACGAGAGCAGAGAGCGTGTGTATTTTTAACTCGCCGCTGTGGGAATGAGGTTGTCTAATTTAAGACGCTGTTACTCGGACACAGACGAGGGCGACTGCAGTGTGTGGAAATAAGCAGAATCGTCCCTCTGTATTGGTTAAAATCAGTGTGATATTACAGAGAGATGATCTTTTATGCTTTCATCCGCTCCCTGTTGCTTCTAGATCAGGAACCCTGAAGAAAGAGTGTTTAGAGCAGCCTGAATCAGATTATATATATATATAAATAGATAAAGTCATCAGCCTGAACCTCACGTCATACACACATACGTGTGCATGCACACACGCTGACGAGCGGTTCCTCAACACACTGTGAGTCTGTTTGTGCTTGAAAATGTGTTTTAGATTCATTCAAATAGATGCATTATCTTGAGTATATATGGCTAGTGGTACATATGCATTGGCTATAATGAGGTATAAGGATAAATAATATTTGATTTTCAATGTGTAAAATTGTTATTTGATCATAAACATACTTGATTGACACTTATAATGGCACTTTAACTTGATTAAATATATCTTGATTAATTACACAATATGAAGAACATGAACAAGTTAGTCAACTTTTCACCTTAAATCAAAATGACATAAGATATTAAGTCTTGTTTTCTGAAAAATGTCTCAAATTAATTAAGTTTATACTTAAGTTTAAAGAAGAAGAATATCTGCCACTGGGGTCAGAAAATAAGCTTAATTGAAAGTGAAAACGAGTTTAATGTTTCTTACCCCATTGGCAGATGTTTGTTTTTGTCTTAAAGTCACTTAATTATTTATTAAAGTCATTTATTTATTATTAGACTTTATCTTGTCAGCTTGTTTCTTACGTAAAAGTAAATCGATTTAAGAATGTTGAGATAATTTAATGAAATACAAGACAAGATGAAAATTTGGTAACACTTAATAAGGTCTCATTAGTTAACGTTAAACAATAAGCAATATATTTTTTTAAAGCATTTATTAATCTTTGTTAATGTTAGTTAATAAACATGTTAGTTCACAGTGCATTAATTAACAGATACAACATTTGATTTTAATAATGTATTAGTAAATTAGTTAACTAAGATTAATAAATGCTGTAGAAGGATTGTTCATTGTTAGTTAATGTAATTAATGTAGTTAACTAATATTAACAAATGGAACCTTATTGTAAAGTGTTACAGAACATTTTTTGCAGTATTGAAATGTTTAATATTAAAGTGATTTGTAACATTTTATTTAATTTTATTTAATTTTAAGGTGAGACAAACTAACTAATACCATAAAACATCACAGAATTCATCTAATCCATTGCTAATACGTTGTGTAATGTTTTGCACAAACAATTTTGTTAAAAATTATGGTTTTAAGTATCAAACAGACCTAAAAACTCACTAACTATAGCAGCCTTAATATCAGTTATTAATTATCAGTTAATAATTATCAGCTGTACGTCCCACACTGTCTCTAAAGTTGAATTTTCCATCGTACAGTGGTAAAATTTGATGTTTGATTACAATAATAATCTGATTCAATCCTTCAGCTTAAAATAAGTATTCAAATAAAAATGTACCTTCATGTTGTTCATGTGAGTTCCTTGTTTTCCATGGAACATAAAAGGAGTTTCGCAGAGTGTCTGAGCTGGTGTTTTCCATATAATCAAGGCGTTCAGTGAGATATCAAACTCTGAAAAGGTCAAAAACAGCATAATAAAGCATCATTAAAGTTTATTCTCTTGTATTTGTGCTTGCATATAGTCAAACGTACCATGTTGTGATCGAGATACAAGAGAATCAAAGGTGCTTGGTGTCGATGATGGCTTGTAACAATGACATTGGAGAGCTATTGTTTTCAACGAATAACTACTTAAATTGAATCTATTCCTCATATAGGACGAGAGTCATATGGACTACTGTTTTGGTGTTTGTTTTGCCTTTTTGTAGATCATTTTTGGGTTCGAACAGACCAAGAGCTGTCCAGTTCTTGCAGGACGGGTGTAAAGCGGGTCGATATGCCACGCACCGGTGGAGACGGCCGGTACGAGACGCCGGACGCCGCTGACCTCCAGAGACTTCTGTGGGTCAAACCTGGAACCAGCGGCCATCTTGATGAGGTCAGACCTGGAATATACATCGGAGACATGTAAGAATATCAGGAGCTGATTTTTGGGGTTGTGTCAGTATGAGGCAAATCTTTCACATTCAAAAGAAAGAGGGTGTTTAGTATATTCAGTCCGGGAATTAAATGAAAGATTAGACTTAATTTGGGATGATCCTTGTGCTTCCTGAAACTTGTTCACCTTTTCTAATATTTTGATTTTACCTTCCTTCATATTCATGAAGATATTCATCCCTTAGTTTAAAAACATATTGTTTTTTTTATAATATTTTGAATGCCCAGTTTTGTGAACTTGTGGACATGTAATTTTAGTGGGTAACATCATATTCACACATGAAAATGGAAGAAAAGTAAGCCTTCATTTATTTCTTCATGATTTTAAAGAATCTAAGAATTGTTCAAATACAAAAAAAAAAAAAAAAATCATCTTCTTTGTCGAAATATTTACTATTTTAATGGTGTCCTGTTTTACATATTCATTAAAGTGAGTCCATTTCATTTCAAATCTTGCTCACTCTTTGAATTTTTCTTTTAAAGGGGACCTATTTTGTCTTGATTTTTTTATGTTTTCCTGCTTGAATGTTGATTATTCTCCTCATATTCTCCGTTGTTGCGGCTCCTCTCTTCCCAGTCTGTCAGTAACGCTCTGTTTAGTTCCTGTCTCTATGAAGCCCCTCCTTCTGAAAAGCACACTGTGCTCTGATTGGCCGGCTGGAGCACAGTGTGTTGTGATTGGTCGAGCGCTTCCAGCCCCACCCCTTCCCATAACCGCCAGTTTAACACACTACTAACTAACTCAACCAGGCCCCGCCCCTTTATTCTGCGTATGAATTATTATAATGAGGAATATTGTGACGTATTCGTGACTCAAGACTACAATGGAGGCGTTTCAGGAGTTCAGAAACACTGACACTGATATAGAGAAGAACTCCCGCTGGAGGGACTTGGAAACGTTTTTCATGATCAAACATGTAAATTTTATATTAAAAAAGCATAATAGGACTCCTTAAATGTAAGTGTCCATTACGAAGTTGGCATGTTCCCTATCTTGCGTTGTAAATGTGCAATAAAAAAGGTATATAATAAGTGTCTGTGTGTGTGTGTGTATCTCATTCAGGTACGCAGCGAAGGACAAACACATGCTACAGTCCCTGAACATCACATACGTGCTGAACGCCGCTCACGGGAAGTTCAACGTTAACACAGGAGCCAGTTACTACAGAGACACTAAAATCACATATCGTGGCGTGGAGGCGTTTGATATGCCCTCATTTGACTTGAGCCCCTTCTTCTACTCTTCTGCCAAGTTCATCAAGAGTGCCATGAGCACCCCTGGAGGTGAGGAGAGGAAACACACTGATGGACATCCCAAAAAAAAAACATTAGCTAAACAAATGCAGAATTCACTGTAAAATTCAATTATATTTGACATGAAGTTTTAAGGACCATCAAGATTTTTTGCATCATGATATTACTTTCATGGGTCATTTTAAGTTGAACTATCAAGGAATTCTCATTATGCACAATGGCAATTTGCAATAACTATAAGATTTTTTTGCATAATGATATTAGTTTATGTTTACCTATTGAGCAATTCTTATGCACAATGGTGATTTCAAAAAATAATAATTTTTAATTATGGCTACATATGAGAATTTGAGGGAGGAACATGTGCTTAATACATGACGTGACAATGTCAAAATTCAACAAAATAAATCTACCTTATTTTTTTTTTCTTTATGCAAAATATTATTTAAAAAATAATGAAAAAAATATATAGAATTTTCATCTTATTTCTTTCGATTTGTGGGTGAAATGTGATCAGGACATGTTTTTGTAAAAATTCGGAATTCGTAAAAAAATTGTAGTTTGTAAACATTTCTATTGTTTGTTTGTTTTTCCTAGGTAAGGTGCTTGTGCACTGCGCAATGGGTCTGAGCCGCTCATCGTCGCTGGTTTTGGCGTATCTGATGATCCACGAGGACATGACGCTGGTGGAAGCCATTAAAGCCGTCGCACAGCACAGGAATATCTGCCCAAACTCCGGCTTCATTGAACAACTGCGAGAACTGGACAAAAAACTGCACTTCCAGAGCACTGCCCTCTAACACTGGACCAACATGCTCACGTCATGTTTACTGATCAGAAATACACTACATTAGGTACAGTAACAGAGCTATTGATGTGCATAAAGATACCCATCAGTTATGACAGAAATGCATGCTTCAGAAATTGCCTTACACACATATGATGGAATTACATGATTGATACAGGATTTAATTTCTCAATTAAAATGTCTTTTTTTTAAAGTTGTTACATGTATTTTTTTGTTGTGATCGAAATATATTCTATTCCTGCTTAATCTTCAGAGTCACTATAAAGTAATAGATTCACAGGTTAAAAACACTAGTGCTTTCCAAACAACAAATGCGAGGAAAGGGGTTGAAAAACGAAAGGGATTCATTCATGAACATCAGTCAGTCCAAAAGGAATATACTTCATCATGAAAGGTCCTAATAAGACCAGGAATGTGAGTTCATAAAAATATTTAATATATTGAAATATATGAATATGCATATTTAATATATAAAAATGTTAAAATATATAAGTCATTCTGAAATTAAACTTCTTTGTAATTTTGATTTCATGATGGCTTTAATATATTTGACCAAATACAGGTGAAACTCGAAAAATTAGAATATCGTGCAAAAGTTATGATTTTGATGATTATGTCTTATGAAAAGTCTCAGAATATTAGAATATTACATGAAATCAATAAAAAAAAGGATTTTAAATACAGAAATGTCATCCCTCTGAAAAGTATAATCATGTATATAGATATATTAGTTTCACCTTTTAATTTGAATTACTGAAATACATGAACTTTTGCGCAATATTCGAATTTTTCGAGTTTCACCTGTATACGTTATTAAAAGAACAAATTTAATATGTAAACCATCTACCTACATCTCGAAGATTCTCAGCTGTCTGTCTGTTTGTGTCTCTCATCTATATTTACCACTTTGACGCGCAAAGAAGCCAAAATAGAGACACGTATCACTTACTGCATCACACAAACTCACACACACGCGGCTCTACGTAGATGACGGAGCTGGCAGAAGAACCGAGGAGAAACACAACGTGAGTTCAGTAACAACAGAAAGGCAAAAACACTTTAATACAATGCATTGACGTGTATGTATTTATCATACATCAAGCTCTTTTATTTCAAAGTATGAGCACACAGGATGTTGGATACGAGACTCCGCCCATCTGTGACCTTTTGACCCTTCTGCTAAAGAACCGACGACCCAGCGGCGCTTTTAATGAAGTCTGGCCTAACATCTACATCAGTGATGCGTACGTATTATACCATAAGACTCGAACGAGACACTTTGAATCTTTTGAGGTGCGCTAAATGATCTTTCATCTTTCATTATGGCAGTCGGTTCACTTCCACAAATCTAGTTGTCTAATAAACCTGGCACTGTATGTTATGAATATTGTTAGCTCTTTGAAAAATTGCTTTTGTTCCTTTTCGGTTAAAAGCGTCTGCTAAATGCATAAATGTAAATAATGTTTTCCACTTTGACAAGAAAAGAAATGACCAGTATTTTTGACATGCAGTACAAAACCTTTTAAATGACACGGGAATATCAGTGGGAATAAAATAATAAAAATATATTCTAAGAACGTTTTGCTAACGTTATTTTTGAATGTTTTCAGAACGTTCCAACCATTTAAAAAAAAAATATTTTAACATTCCATTTGAACTTTTAACAGAACATTCCATTTTACTTTTGCGAACATTACTTTTGAATTTTCTCGGAATGTTCAGAAAAAAAGTAGCAACATTTAAAAAACGTTACACAAATGTCAAACTAAACCGTTTCAGAATAAACACATTCCATGAATAATGTATAAAAAATGTTGTTGTGCTAAAGACCAGATAAATGTGAACAATCATTCTAGTTACGTTACTGGAAGAATGTTTGTTCATTACTTTTATTCAACATTCTGAGATTCTCTGTTGATAACAGTAATCCATATGACTCGTGGACTATATAAGTCTTCTGAAGTATTTCAAACATGATAACTTGGGGTAAAGAACAGATTTAGCCATTGTTTACCGTTGTTTTTTATCTTTGCAATAGTGCAAAAATGTCATTCATGCTTGTATTCAGTTCAGAAATGTCTCCTTTAAATGTATAGCGCCAGGTTTGACATGATTGATCACTAATGCAATTAGTTCTCATGCATCACATGACCGATATTGTTGTGTCAAGCTTGATTTGAGAGCTACTGCAGAAAATTAACTCTTGAGTGATTCTCTCAGTCCAACAGCAAGAGACAAGACCCTTCTACACCGTCTAGGAATCAGTCACGTCGTCAACGCTGCACACGGACCCGCTCACATCGACACTGGAGCTGATTTCTACTCGGACGCAAGAGTAGAGTATCATGGCGTTGAGGCACCAGACAACAGAGACTTCGACATCACACCGTTTTTCTACCCCACAGCCGGCTTCATTCATAAAGCTCTGTCCCAGCAAAGTAAGACATCGTGCACTTTCATACTTAGAGTTTGCATTGTGTACACACACACATCATGCTTCTGTGATATTTAATAATGTGTTGGGAGATATAATGCATTTAGTTTCCTGATAATTTACTCGTTCATGTTTTTCTTTCTTCAGTCGAAAAGAAATTAATGTTTTTGAGGAAACCATTCCAGGATTTTTCTCCATATAGTGACTTCAATGGGGTCCAACGGTTTGAAGGTCCAAGTTGCAGTTTCAAAGTCTCGACACGATCCCAGCTGAGGAATAAGGGTCTTATCTAACGAAAGCATATAAACATTTATATACTTTTTAACCCCAAATGCTCGTCTTGCATGTCCACGACTTCATGCATTACGTAATCACATTGGAATTTGGGTCAGGCGATCACATGACGTAAGGCAGAAAATGTAGGGTAGGGCGAAAAACTATTTTTCTCCTCCAACTTCAAAATCGTCCGACATCGTTGTTTTACCTTTTATTTTTTACATTTTTTTAAATGGCATTTGACTTAGTCTTTGCACATTCGCTTTGTAAACACAAGGTCTGTACTTCTGCCAACGTCACGCGTGACCTTTCAACGTGATTACGCATCGCAGAGCTAGTGCAAGACAAGCATTTGTGGTTAAAAAGTGTATCATTTATTTATTTATTTTTTAGAAAATGGCCGCTGGTTTGGCTAAATAAGCCCTTATTCCTTGGCTGGGATGGTGTAGAGCCTTTGAAGCTGCATTGAAACGGCAATATGGACCTTCAAACCGTTGGACCCCATTGAAGTCACTATATGGAGAAAAATCCTGGAATGTTTTCCTCAAAAACCTTCATTTCTTTTCGACTGAAGAAAGAAAGACATCTTGGATGACGTGAGGGCGAGTAAATTATCAGGAAATTTTAATTCTGAAGTGAACTAATCCTTTAAACTGACTATTTACTTTCCGAAATACACATTCCAGGTCGTGTTGGGAATGATTCATCATCAGTGACTTCGAATACAGTGCTTTAGTAAAATGGCTTGCATGCGAATAGTGTTTCACGTTCGTGACTCCACGGTCGTCTTTGAGATTTGTTTGAAATAAGTTTAACATGCATGATGAGTGATGGTGGTTTTATTTGTTTTACAGGAGAGGGGAAGGTCTTGGTTCATTGCGCCAGAGGAGTGAGTCGTTCAGCGACGTTAGTGTTGGCGTATCTGATGATATACGAAAAACTCACCATCGCAGAAGCCATTGATACGGTTTGCTCCCACCGGAACATTCTTCCCAACGCTGGATTCCTTCAACAGCTCCGTCAGCTGGACTCAAACCTCAGAGGAGAGATGGGATATTAGTATAAACTAACAGGCAACTGTGTTCACTAATTTAACAAATTGTAAATAAATCATAGAATTGGAGTTTACAATATAATGTAGAACAAGTGAACAGGAAAATGATGGTTTAAGGAAAATAATCCTAAATCATGATGCTTAGGTTCAGTTTTTAATTTGGGTTCAATGTGTGGTGTTCAGTTGATGCCATGCAGTCTTGTATCGGGTGAATAACACACACACTCACTCGCTCACACAACCACACACACACACAGACTCAAACACGTGTGTTTTGGGGCTCAGCCCTCTCTAGTGAGAGAAAGAGGGAACAGACCTCTAAAAATAACCCCGAAATCAACACACACCTCCGGCCTGTAGTTAGGCCAAAGCAGTCGACTCAACTCAGCACCTCTCAAACCAATCTGAACACAAAAATACATGTATTTTATGCTGTTTTAATCGAATGCGCGATTGAAAATGACCTCACGGAGGAAGTTTGGTGTGAAGTCGGAGGCGAGTGAAGTGAAAGAGGAATATGTGACACCAAACGGATACGAGCTGGAGAAACACCTCACGCACGGCAGCGTCGCTTACACACACGTCAATGAGGTCTGGCCCAACGTCTACATCGGGAACGAGTGAGTCGTCTCATTTGACTAACTAACCCTATTGTGATGATGCTAATAATGCAGGATCAACATTTACCCACTTAAGTCTAGTGACGTACTAAAAACACTGACCCAAAAACTATGATACCGTAACTATTTTAGCTTAGCTAGTTCATTAACGGCTGTTAACGGTCGTTAGTTCTGTTGTGTTTAGGCGCGCGTTTAAAGGGATAGTTCCCCCAAAAATTAAACTTGTCATAATTTACTCCCACTCAAGTTGTTCCAAACTTGTTTGAGTTTCTTTCTTCTGCTGAACACAAAATAAGATATTTTGAAGAATAGGTAACCAAACAGTTGATGGGCCCCATTGACTTTCATAACAGTTTAGAACAATTTGAGGTTTAGAACAACATACTGGCCAGTAGATGTCACTTTGTAAAGAAACACTACTACACATGCGCATGACATCGTTTTCACAAATTCCATGTTTAGCCTACATGTGGTATCGTTTTCAAAAACTTGCACTTTGAAGCCAGTTTTCAAAAGTTTGTGTTTTCAGACTCCCAAAACCCCTTTGTCGGGTAAATCGACGGCCAAAAAAACGCATTAAATGCTTTCCATTTTTTTGTTGAAAACAGTGTCTTGTAAACGGTCCCTAGACTCTAAGCTGTTGTGTTTCTTTGAAGAGAGACAGCAAAAGACCGATACAAGCTGAAGACGATGGGCATCACGCATATCCTGAACGCTGCGGAGGGCGAGTGGAACAATGTGGACACGGGCGCTGAATACTATAGAGACATGGACGTGCATTACTACGGGATCACAGCGGAGGACGTTCCCACATTCAACCTCAGCCAGTACTTCTATTCTGCTGCTGAACACATCCACCAGACCCTCACGAACCCACAGAGTGAGTTATTTTAGTATCACTGAGATACTATTAAACTTAGGCCTACTTCACCTGAGCTTAAAGTGGTCCTATTATGCCCTTTAACAAAGTCTTGATTTTGTTTTTAGGGTGTACTAGAATATATATTAAAAAAACACTATTTTTCACATATTTTACATTATTGACTGGTAGAACGTGTAGTTTTCGATGAAGCCCCTCCTTCCGAAATATGCTGTGATTGGTTTGGCCGCGCTCATCGCGTGTTCGGGAAATGTCCCACCCCTTCATAACCTCGAGCTCTACTGAGATGTAAATATTAACGATGGCGTCAATTTCAAACCATTTTGAGGCTGATTCAGACCCTGACAGTGTTAACGAACAAGAGGATTGCGCTGGCTGAACGGATTTCAAGCACATAACTCTGCAAGCACGGATTTTACAGGACGTCAGCCTTAGGACAAACTCTTTCCAGGGTTAAAAAACAAAGACAACTCTTCCTCTTCTCTAAAGCAGCCCAACATGGTTTCACCATGTTTATGTAAATTTTAGGGTTAGTGATGTCACCACCCCGGGAAGAAGCTTGTTGTAGTCCCTACCAGCCGTTGGTTGTAGTCCTTATAAATCGATTTCTGTAAAAGAATATATCTCCATTTGCATTGAACTTTGAGCGTCGGAACTTCGCAGATGTTGTTTATGCTCAAAAAGCAACATTACACACTAACTAAAGTTAGAAAAGTGAAATCATAATCAAGGACCCCCTTTAAAAGCATCCCAGGATGCACCTCATGAAGTTGGTTAATGAATGTCCAGAGTGAGCAGACCTGGAATCTAGACCAAAAAAAGCATAAGGATGAAACTTGACTGCTATTGCAATAATGAGGTTTAGACATCTTGTTTATTTCTCCAGATAAGCTTCTAGTTCACTGTGTGATGGGCCGCAGTCGCTCGGCCACACTCTTCCTGGCCTTCCTGATGATCTACGAGAACATGACGGTTGTAGACGCCATCGACCACGTCAAACGACGGCGACACATCATCCCAAACTGGGGCTTCCTGAAGCAGCTGAGAGAGCTGGATGAGCAACTGCTGGAGCAGAGAAGAGCTCAAAACACACAACCACTGACACTGAAACACGATGACCAACAACATTTATGCAGTGAATAGTGTTAAGTTTGAGGTAGGTTTAGGGTTAGTCGGTTTCTCCGAAAATGAAGCATATTAAATCAGACCTGTCTGAGGCGATTGACATGTGAATGCTAACAGAAAGCTTTCTTCGGGTTTTAGAGAACTTCCTATCGAACTACGGGAATATAAGCACACACACACACACACACACACACACACTCACTAAAGCACAGGGACACACTAATGCACTGACACACACACACACACACACACACACACACACTCACTACTGCACAGTCACACACTAATGCAAAGACACACACACTCACTAATGCACAGGGACACACTAATGCACTGACACACACACACACTCACTCACTACTGCACAGGCACACACTAATGCACTGACACACACACACACTCATTGACTACTGCACAGGCACACACTAATGCACTGACACACACACACACTCATTGACTACTGCACAGGCACACACTGATGCATGCACACACACACACACACACACACACACAATGCACAGGCACACAATAATGCACACACACTCATGCATGCACACACACACACACACAAACACACTCATGCACATACACACTCATGCACAAACACACACAGATGCATGCACACACACACATTAATGCACAGGCACACACTAATGCAGACACACAATAATGCACACACTCATGCACACACACACTCATGCACGCACACACACTCATGCACACACACACTCATGCACACACACACACACACTCATGCACACACACACACACACTCATGCACATACACACACTCATGCACATGCACTCATGCACAAACACACACTCATGCACAAACACACACTCATGCACAAACACACACTCATGCACAAACACACACTCATGCTCAAACACACACATGCTCAAACACACACATGCTCAAACACACACACACACTCATGCTCGCTCACACACACACACACACACACACTCATGCTCACACACACACTCATGCACAAACACACTCATGCACAAACGCACACTCATGCACAAACGCGCGCACACACACACACACACACACACACAAAAAAAAAAAAATGTACAACTTTGGAACAGTTAAAATCTTTTTATTAAACTGGTCAGTTGAATGGTCGTGTTCCAGAAGAGGAAAGAGCAAGTGTAAAAATCTTCCCACATCAGATACAGCTTATATGCATATTTAAACATTGTGCGTTTAAGATACAATTTGGTATGTCATAATAAATGTAGACCTGAAAGACAAAAATGTTCCAAGCAAAAATTCCATTAAATAATTCTTAATTTAATTTACCACTATTATTTTTGAAAATATAAATGCACTTACATAAAAGGATATCATGGATCTTTAATAGATTAAATATAGAATTATACTGCAATGTAGCATAAAAACAGATCAAAGACAATCCCTATTTAAACACAAACTCATCGGAGTATACGTAATGTGGTCGTCGCAATCCTGAAAAATGCCCGTTTAACAGGAAACGTGTGTAAACGAATGTAGAGGCACGCAGGTTGTGTTGCTGAAGCTTCAGCAGAAAGAAAGAAGATGAGATGGAAAGATTCCACATTGGGATCATACAGGAGAGTATGTGAAGGAGTTAGTGGAAATCGGGTTTCTCCGGGAAGGTGCAGCCCGCTCGCCGGATGATGACATTAGCGGCGTAGTGTCCTGCGCGGATACACTCTTCCAGCGGCTTCTCCTGAACCAACTCTGACAGGAATCCTGTAGGACACGTATATTGAAACAATAATACAAAATATTGCATTGAAAAAAATGTAAAACATACTCCAATAATACTTGCTTCCAAAAAAAAATGTTTACAGTGTATTTTAGCATGATATTAAAAAGAGTGCGCAGTTAATAAACTGAATTAAAGGGGTGGTATAATGCCCTTTTCAAAAGATGTAAAATAAATCTCTGATGTCCCCAGAGTGTGTGTGTGAAGTTTCAGCTCAAAATACCCCACAGATATTTTTTATATAGCATGTTAAAATTGTAACTTTTTGAGTGTGAGCAAAAAAGCTCCGTTTTTGTGTCTGTCCCTTTAAATGCAAATGAGCTGCTGCTCCCGCACAGGGGGCGGAACTTCAAGAGCTTGTGTCCTTTTACCTCACACAGACATGCACTGAAAATTTCAAATATTTTTAGCCTTTTATGTTCAAACCGGACTCAGATAAAGATGGAGACTCGAGAGACTCATATTCTGTCATGATAATCTATAAATCGTGTTCCCGGGGGCGGGGTTTATGTAAATTTTAGGGTTTGTGATGTCACTAACCCGGGAGGAAGCTCGTGTAGTTCTACCAGCCGTTTGTTGTAGTCCTTAAAAAGCAATTTCTTTAAAAGCAAAAATCTCCCTTTGCTTTGAACTTTGAGCGTCCGTAACTTTGCAGATGTTGTTTCTGCTCAAACAGCAACATTACACACTAACTAAAACTAGAAAAGTGAAATCATAATCAACCACGCCTTTAATAACTATCTTTGTCAAAAATGATCTGATGAATCATTTACCTCCCACAAAAGCATCACCAGCACCATTCGTGTCCACAATGTCGTTCTGGTCGATGTCTAAAACGGGAAACACTTTCACTTTATCACCTAAAAGAAGACAAACAAAGACAATTAATAAAAAACACATGGAAGATAACTGATCTGAATCAGCGCGTTTGATTGGTTTGACGGACGTACCCACAGTGGCCACAGTGTCCTCTCTGCCCTGAGTGAACACCACAATCCTCTGCCTGTTCTTGTTGACTTTGGGCAGAGACTGAACCCTCCGTGCGATCTCAGCGATGTCTTCAGTCTGCAGGAGCACCGGGAGAGTATACAGCACTGAGAGTGTGTTATAGGAGCAGTCCATTCATTCACAAGTCTACATTACTCATACGGTATTACAGTACGTTTCACTCGCCTCAAAGCCCTGCTCCTTTGCAAATGTAGCGGCTTCCTATAAAACAAACATCAGTTAACACACAATCATCAAAGAGACCTGCCAAAAAATAACCTAATGTGTGGAGGTTAGTTAAAAACTAATAACTGAACTCCATACGTGACATTTAAAGTCCCCCTGTGGTTAAAATCCAGCTTTTAATGTAGTCTATCAATACGCTTTAAGACAAACCATGTGTAAGTTCATAAGTCGACAGCATTGCTGAGTATTTTCTGCTTAAAACTGCAGTGAACCAAAGACAGTCTCAAAAACACGGTTTGAAATCGCTGGTGTTCCTGACGTCACAAACGACCTTGTAACCAATCAGATCAACGTGTGATCGTCAACCAGTGGATCTCTGAGCTGAGTGAGTGAGGAGGCGGGGCTCATTTGCATATTCATAGAACCATGCATACTAAATGAGGCAAGGGTGTCGAGTTACATTCAAGCTGTTTTAAGGCATGAAGAGTTCTTTTTTCAAGGAAAAGCCTTGTAAATATGTCATTTTGGTGATCAAAGATGAGTTTTAAGGGTTAAAATGATTGACCGCAGGGGGACTTTGTGAGCCGTTTAAACACCCTGATGATCTGAAGACTCACCGTCTCGTTTCCGAAGATGATGTCGACGTACGGCATGACCTTCATCAGCGGCTCTTTGAAGAACTGGCTGATGAAGGGGGCCGAGAGGTTGAGGCCGAAGATCTTGTTGTTGTCAGACGCGTGTTTGGCCACTCTGAGGATGGACTCTGGAGACACGGTCAGGAAAAAACCCTTCAGGACGGAGATCAGGAGTCAGATTCATACTTGCACATGACACTTATCAGATTTATACTTTAATAAGATGAGCATTTTGACCAGAAAATGGTTTGGATTATTCAACATCATTTGTTTCTTGAATAAGCTGCTCTATTCTCTCATTTGCACATTCAAACTAGCATAATGCAAATGTGAATCACTTACGGCGATGTAGTAAACTCGAGCTTTCTCCACCAGACTCCAGTTGCGATCAACATCCAGATGTTTCTCTTTATTATAGCAGTTTGCTGCTGCCAGGTTTGCAATCAGAGACCTACAAACACACAGTAATAGTCAAACATCGAGCCTGAAAATCACTATGGAACATTATATATTAATTCTCAGTACAGACAGATTGTAATATACAACATAAATCAAAGATTGAAAAGCTCTAGGTGAAACAGCATTAATCCACCGATGAATCATACAGTCTTTTACTAACTATATATGGTGATGTTATCAATATCACCATAATTTCCATTATTATTATTTTTACTATTAAATAGCATTATTATTACTATTAAAAATAATAATAATGGAAATAATGGTGATCATCCTGGACCAGTCGAGTGAAATATTAAGCTGTACGAAAAAATAAGAAATAATCTGAAGAATTAAGCTGTTATCATAGTTACAGTTGCATTGTTATGATGCTGTATTTGATTTGAACATGTAAAATGGGATTGTTTTACAGTATCAGCCATATTCTCAATTATATGCTATAAAATGTTCATAACAGTGTATCCCTGGATAAAACAGCGCATTAGGTCCATTATAATGTTTTGATCTCTGATTTCGCTCAAAGCTCGTCATTTCTCTTAGTATGAATTATGTTTAAAAAGATTTGATTCATATATGCTATGCTACCATTTCACCAAAAGAATTTAAAAAATAAATTAATACTTTTATGCATCAGTGATGCATTGAATGGATCAATAGTAACAGTAAAGACATTTATAATATTACAAAAGATTATATTTCTTTTGTCAAATAATCCTTAAACAAAAATCAGTTTCCCAAAAAATATGAAGCATCAACATTTATAATATTCAGAATGATTTTTGAGCATCATATTACAATGATTGCTGAAGGATCATGTGACACTGAAGACTGGAGTAATGATGATAAAAATTCAGCTTAATAAATTACACTTTACTATATAATCACTTAGAAAACAGCTGTTTTAAATTGAAATTATATTTCAGTTTTACTGTATTCTTGATCAAATACACGCAGCCTCAGACGAGACTTCTTTCTAAAACAGTAAAACATCTTTTGAGTGCTAGTGCGTATATATTAACTCGTACACGTGTAGAAGTGTGTTTGTGTCTGACCTGTTGTCTCCAGTAATGCAGGCCGCACACGTTCCTGTCGGTTCCTGACCTTGTTCATAATAATGAGCGTCAACATGAGCTTCAGCCGCTTTCTGCTTCAGAATCTCTCCAAAGTGATCCGTCCCTATACAGCCGAAGAACGTGGCCACTTTATGCGGCTCCTGGATCATCCACTGAGAGAGAGAAGATATCAAACACACAGTATTATTCTGGAGTTCTGCTGGGGTAAATCTGAGATGAAACTGCCTTCTTGTAATTTTCTGATAGACACACATATGGTAGTGATGTATCTTGTGATGTACCGGTCTTTACGTGGTCTCGGTCTTGTCACGGCCTTGACGGTCTTGGTCTCGGACCTCTCGGTCTTGTCTAGGTCTCGCTGTCTCAGACCGACACAGTGGTCGGGGGATTTAGCAATACAATACTACAATATCCACGGCGATATCCGCAACGGATTGAAGCACGCGTCCGAGTGAAGACAGTGCGGTGTGCGCGAGCCACACGAGAAAACACCGTATCCGCGCCACTGATCGCAGCGGCAACGAGCACTTTGGTCACTTGATTTAAAAAACACATATCATGTACAGTTTTTGATGTATTAATATTTAATATAACACATATCAGTGACATGATGGGTTTTACCTTCATTCAGGAGATTTTGGGTAACTGCACAACTGACAGATGACTTTGTGTGTGTGTGTGTGTGTGTGTAACCATAGCGACAAAACGACCAACTTTCAGATCCTGCACTTAAGCTTATAATTTCGTTTTTAAAAATATAATTATGTATTTAAAAGTTGCAGAATGGATTCATTTGGAGACTTCGAAATCGGCAGAGATAGGCAGGCAATGCAAAACAAAATCTTACAAGTTATTGCTTAGCTTCAACACTAGTCTGTTTTTGGGTCTCGACTTGGTCTCGGTACCCGTACCCTCTGGTCTTGGTAGTGTCTTGGTCTTGACTTGGTCTCGGTCTTGGTCCCCTCTGGTCTTGGTTTTGGACTTGGTCTCGACTTGGTCTGTCTTGGTCTGGGTACCCTCTGGTCTTGGTCTCGGTTTAGGCGGTCTTGACTACAAGTCTAACATATGGTGAGAAATAAGTGAGTGCCAGATTACCTGAGCGATTTTGACAGAGTTCTGTGTGGATCCACCGGCATGATACTCCACTTTACTCTTATTCACGATCTCATCAAACCTGCAGCACACACACGAGAAGCTCTTTCTTTAACGTTAGTGACTTGTAGAGTCCATGAGATCCTGATGTTACAGAGAATGTAAAGAGAAGTCTCTGCTGCTCTCCACAGGGCAGAGACGGTACAACACTAAAACTACATTCACAATTCTGCTTTTCTGCTCAAACACCTTTTACTGTAGTTTACACGCAAACATTATTAGGACTGGGCGGCACCGCTTATATCATCATAGATATATATGCATGCAATGGTTGAACATGATGAACCGAGAAAGAAAATATCACTTATTTCTAGTTTGTATTTTACCAGTCATTTTCTGAATTAATTTTCCTAATATGTTGTTTGTACCATTTGTCTTTAGCCTTCATAATATGATATAATGATGACTGGGCAATTATATCAAATATTTATGATACAGTACCGGTCAAAAGTTTGGAATAATTAAGATTTTTTAATGTTTTTGAAAGAAGTCTCTTCTGCTCACCATGTCTGCATTAATTTAATCAATTAATGAGTAACATTATGAAATATTTTTGCAATTTAAAATAGCTATTTTCAATGTGAATATATTTTAAACTGTAATTTATTTCTGTGATCAAAGCTGTATTTTCAGCATCGTTACTCCAGTCTTCAGTGTCACATGATCCTTCAGAAATCATTCTTTATTTTTATTTCTTATTTTTATCAATGTTGAAATGAAAATGTGCTGCTTCATATTTTTGTGGAAACCGTGATACACCCCCATTCAAAAGTTTGAGATAAGTAATATAAAAAAAGAAAGAAATTAATACTTTTATTCAGCAGGGAAGCATTAAATTGATAAAAAGTGACAGTAAAGACATTTATAATGTTACGAAAGATTCAATTTTTAAAGAAATTTTCTTTCTATTTGTCAAAGAATTTTGCTAAGAATTTAGTTTCAGTTTCTACAAAAATATGAAATATATTCAAATAGAAAAGTTATTTTAAATTGTAATAATATTTCACAATATTACTGTTTTACTGCATTTTGATCAAATAAATGCAGCCTTGGTGAGCAGAAGAGACTTCTTTCAAAAACATAACAAATCTTAATTATTCAGAAATTTTGACCAGTACTGTATATTCAAAGATTTTGCCGGTGATATAACAATAAGCAACATTGCGAACACAGCAGTGAACATAATTCATAACGATGTCACTCACAAAGCTTTATGTTTCTCCTCTGCCAGGATCTGATCATTGGGCTTCAATCCATACCTGCACACACACACACACACACAGGTTAGTTGATGAATAATTACTCTAACAGTGCTCAAGGAAATCCACAGTGTGTTTCTGGCTCAGGTTGTGTGATCACAGAAGCGTATCGATCATAAGAACGGCTGTGCGCGCATGACCTTGAAACACACACAGTTCGTCACTACTCACTTATCAAGAAAATCCTTATCCACCACAGCAGAGATGTCCAGCAGCGGATTCCCCATCCCAAACAGAGCGTTCTGACTGCAACACACACACACACACACGGGAGGAAAACATCTTACAATAACTGATATTTACTCTTTATTCACTTTAATATATTACAATATTGCATTACTCACTAAAAAAAGTATAATAATTACATTACTTAGTTACTTTTTATTTAAAGTTATGAATTATGTTACTTTTTCCAGGCCTTGCATGTTTTCATTACTATGCGTTCAACAAAATATGCCCGTTACTCACTGTGAATTTGTTTTTGCATACATTAAAACATGAAAAGCACAAATTCGTCATAAGCAGAAACTGCCAGCCATCAGATCATCAGTGCATGCAAATGCTTGATTTAACACCGCATAATATTGCATCTCCTTGTGAACTTTTAGAAAGTTTGCATTAAAAGTCGACATGAAATACAACTGGTTTGTCAGGCTAATAGTAGTAGTCCGTTTAAACCTGTTCATTATATAGAAAGCTTCACAGGATGATAACGAGGAGGGCTGTACATCTAAAACCTGTCCTGACCCACAATGTCTCACAAGCAAGGCGAGCATTTGACATTATTAAACTTAAACTTTGTTATTTATTTTTGAAATGACTGATCATTTCGCTTGATAAGACCCTTATTCATCGTCTGGTGTCGTTTAAAGCCCTTTGAACAGTTTGCACTGAAACTGTCTTTTGGACCTTGAACCGTTTGGTGCCCAGCAAAGTGCATTATATGGAGAAAAATCCTGGAATGTTTTCATCAAAAACCTTCATTTCTTTTCGACTGAAGAAAGAAAGACATGAACATCTTGGATGACATGGGGGAGAGTAAATTATCAGCAAAAGATTTTTTAAAAGTGAACTAATCCTTTAATTTACTGTAAGTGTATGCATAAGAACAGCATGAACATTCTGCTAGTCTTCTCCTTTTTTGTTCTACTGAAGTAATTTAAAGTTTTTGGAAAGACATCAATGAGCAGATTCAGAACATTCCTTCCCGAGGGAACTATATCCATTCTGAGAGTGACAGGTGGAGGTCACATGACCGGGGTTTCAGTGACACTGCCTTTGAGACAAGAACCCTTGGTGGGCTTATTAGAAGGAGAGCCACACAGACCAGAATCGCACTCTTTCATTCGGTGAAACGGACATTGTGGGTCAGGACAGGTTTTAGATGTACAGCCCTCCTCGTTATCATCCTGTGAAGCTTTCTATATAATGAACAGGTTTAAATCGACTACTACTATTAGCCTGACAAACCAGTTGTATATCATGTCGACTTTTAATGCAAACTTTCTAAAAGTTCACAACAAAAACAGTTTACAGGCCTTTAAAGTGCTTTTTTATAATTAACATTGTGAAAAGTTTACACAAACCGGAAATCTAATATCTGAACATATAGTGTGTGTTAAATGTGTTTTACATGGGAATGTGTTTACAGCGCAGAGCACATGCTATAGTGCTGACTAAACACATGCAGCACACACACACACACACACACACACACACACACACACACACACACACACACACACACACACACAAAAACCACCAAAACTATACACGTTGGCCAACATTCTTCACGTGAAACATTGACAAGCATCAATTTGTCAGGGAACTGGAATGAAAACTGCCACAAGTGATTAGTGGATGTACACGTGCACGTGCATTCTGCCATATATAACGCGTGCACGCATTACTGCAACATATGAGTACATGCACATTAATCTGACAGTTAAAGGTCAACAAAAAACAGAATCATTTTAAGTTGTCATTCCAGTTCTGTCATTTTCAAAAACTATCAACAGCCTAATTGTACGTTTGTGTAACTGACTGACTGACATACATATACACATGCATACGTATAATAATACACATACAGACATACATACACACACACACACACACACACACACACACACACACACAGAGAGAGAGAGACGCTGAATAAGAATATTGTATTACTTAATATACCACAAATGAGGAAATAAAGCACGTTGCATCATAAAGACAAACAATGCCCAACCCGGAAGAACACAAACAGAGAGACTGACTGAACACACACTGCTGTACTGTACCTGACTGTCGGCATGATCACACACACACTGATTGTCTGCAGTAAAACTGATTCTGGCTCTCGCGCCCCGTCCACGCTGCGAGCGCGTGCGTCTGTGTTCTCCTTCTGTTCTCCACACACTCCAAACACAACCCGGAAGCCGAAATCACTCCAGAGATACAGATGATTGGTTACATCCATAGGTTACATCACACGCATGGGCGGATCATCATCCTGGTTGGCTGACTAGCCCACATGTGTTTTTAAGGTCTGATATGTTACTATCATAACACGTGTCGCGTGTGCACTGCATGCGTCTGACAGACAGACACGAGAGATCAAAATAAAATCTAAACAACATGTATGAACTCTGCTGCAAATGACGTTATGATGGCAAATATGCAAATATGCACGCGCAGAGGACTGAATGCGCTGCTGGTACATTTTGTTCAGGCAACAGTGCAACCATCAAACATACTCGGATCCATAATGTTTAAGATGCATTAATTACATTTCTGCATATCAAATCATAAATTACTCGAGTGCATGACGCATGTGTTATCGATGTGTGTGTGTGTGTGTGTGTGTGTGTGTTATGGTGGCAGGTATCAGCTCTGCTGTGATGAAATCAAAACATCCCCTGCCTGAACTCGACATGATTCTCAGATGCACATCGCGATTCTGACAGACAAACAGACTCGCAATCAAAGCACCGACGGTGTGTGTGTTTACCTCAACGCCTTCTGCGCGCGCGAGCCGCCAGTACAGTCACACACCGACATCTTCCTTCTCACACTGACACACTCTCCAGCTGCTCTCAGATCAGTTTGCCTTTGCCATCTTCTGTTTTGTGCTGATGCATTTGGCAAGTTGCATTAATCAATTTCATGGTCATCATGCAGTATACCTCAAAATATTTCTTATTGTAAGATTTATTTTGCCTACATCTGTAATAATATCTCCTTGCATAACATAAATACCATAGTTGATACACCTATTATTACCGTAACACTGGTGTTTATACTTGTACTCGCACATAAAAGTTAGATTTGTTGCATATGTTCATTAAAACTAATAGGATGAGCTCAGATTTAACTGCAATATTAAAGGATAAATGAAAATGATTCACTCAAATTGAGTTTGTAAGAGTTTTGAAATGTAAAGTGTAAATACTGGAGAAATTAATACTATTTAATAATATCTATTCTATTTTTATTTAAAAACTATTTTCCCCTAATTTCTCCTTAATTATTTTTCTGTTTTACCTTCAGTTATTTTAGTATTGAGACACTATTATATTTTTTTTAATCAAATATAGTTTTAAACTTAGATTAAATTGTAATTGTAGTTATTTTTAGTAATTTAGTTCGTTTTTTTAAATGTCTATATAGTTTTAATTAATTTTTATTTCAGTTTTAAATCGAGTTATTTTAGTTAAACTAATCAAGTTAAACTAAATGAAGACGAGAAATGTTGCTTTGGCAACTAACTAAAATAAAATAAGTACTTTTTATTCTATGTTATTTGTAGTTAACTATAACAACCCTGCCTTCAGAACACCTCTTTTAACTTTAATTGTGGATATCGTACTGCATGTCAAAAATCCAATTGCAAAATTGTCTAGTTAGAATATAACGGATATCATAACTCATTAACTGTGGTAAAAACGGCAAAGCACGGACTTAAGTGTCAGTGGCAACAATAAGATAAAAGACATTAATGTTGAATAAATTGCTTTAAATTTAGAAAGCTAATCTCGTTATAAAATGCATATTTAAAAAGATCATATCAACAAATATAGTCCCACACATATGATTCAGCTGATAATAAGTTCTTTTATTATGACAAGGCACATTAGGTCTTACAGGCTGTCTTTAATTAAAGATGAACACATTATTTACATTAAATCTGCTGGTCTCCTCAACCATAGAAAAAGCAAATATATGCATATTCTCACTCATATAAATATACTTGAGTGTGCATTCTGCAAGAGATTTTAGTAGTGTATTAGCACAGTGACGTCTTAGTGGAAATACAAGGATGGCAGTGTGTGTGTGTGTGTGTGTGTGTGTGTGGGGATATATAATGCTAATGGACTGGTTTTGCATAGAGTCATGAAGCACCAGGTCGCAGCTCTGATTACCTCTGTATTTCTTGTATTGGAGAGTTTGCAGCGTCATCCCTGAATGAAAGGTTTCATCCACTAACCAGTTACCAACATTAGGGCATTTATATGCGGTCATCAACACTTTTCATTAAAAAGCACATTATGAGGATTTCATAATCCAAAATCTGTGCTTGTTTGTGAAGACGTTTTGTTGGTGACATTTAATAACATATTCAAAGAGTGAAAACAAGGCTGGTGAGAAATTATATATATATATATATATATATATATATGTTATAGATCCACATTTTGTAAAAAAAAAAAAAAAAAAAAAAAAAGAAGGAAAAAAAAAGAAGAAAATAATGACAATTGTGAAATTTTCCCTCCTACCCGGGATCAATCAAACCAAAATAAATCATTCTTCGCAAATTATAAAAGCAATGTTTTTTTTACACTCAATGACATTCAAGAACACCGGTTTTGATAGTGGGATAGTTTAGTCCACGAGGTGGATGAGACGTCTGCATTGACATTGATGACCTGGACAGTGCATGCTGGGATATGTGCACTGGTTGTTCGCTCACTGGTACCAGGGTGTCTTGCGGACCCAGCGCAGGGTGAAGCCGGCGTCTGTGCGGATCTTGATGGACGCGGCCTCGGCTTCTCTCACCGTCTCCTTCACCGACTGCATCAGGTTCTGGGCGTTATGGACCAGCATCTCCGTGGCCTACGAGAGAACCAGCACACGTTCAGAACGGGTTTCCTGATTTTAAACGAGAAACGGCAGCGGGTTTGAGATCTGACCTGCTCTGATTCCTCCTCGCTGATGTTGGTGCGTCCCAGCATGGTGGCCTTCACAGTGGAGAGGATCTTCAGCTGTGTGCTGATGGTAGGAATCCTCTCACACACCTACAGAAAGACACAGAAATACTATTTTTACAAGAACAAACAGTCATAAAGTGCATCTTGTGCAGTAGTGCTATTGTGATCTTAAATTGCTCTATTTCCCTTTGCATGCACTTTCATTTAGGGATGCACGATATATCATCCACCTTATCGGTATCAGCCGATATATGTTAATTTTAATGTTATCGTTATCAGCCAAATATGAAAATTTGGCCGATATATTAAAGCCGATAAATAATGTATTATTTCCTTCAGCTGAGACGCTTCAAATGCGCACTGTTCAACATGATGGTTTTGAATTGCTTGAAATATGATTGGAATCACTTCAAAAAAAGGAAAATACGGCAAAGTGCAACATGTGCAGCGCAAGTCTGTCATATCGGCTATTTAAAATTATAATGATAATATTATAATTGTGTGATTGAGACATGGATTTTTAATTGCGAGACATTTGTTTTTGTTATCAGTCTCTCAAAAATTATATAAAAACTTGGATTTAGCTTTAACGGCCAATTTATCGGTTATCGGCTTTCAAGTATAAAGAATTATCGGTTATCGGTATCAGCGCAGCCCTAGTTTCATTATCAGTTGACCCAATTGAACGAATTTGCCGCTTTTCTGAACGAGTCCATATTGATGGTCAAATTTTTTCGGTGAATAGATTCAAAAGAGTCGCTTAGATGAATCAGTACTGCTGTAATGCAGTTTGCCAGCCACAAAATTGGCCAAACCCTACAAACAAGCGCAGCAAACATGGAAATTGCATTTTAAATCACAACCTGGTCTCAGTTCGGTTTGCATTTATGAAGTGCACACATTAGCCAAAACTCTTCCCAGACTCCAGAACCACATCAACACATGTGCTTCCTCTTATTACCTGCAGCAGGTTTGTTCGTATGCGTTTGTCGGTGCACTGCTTGGCGACCTCTTTGGCGAGGCGCGTGACCTCGTCGGAGGCTTTGGCGATGTCTTTGGCACACTGGATGAGCGCCCTCTTATTCCCGCCGCTTCCTCGGACCAGTCGAGACATCTCGGCCATCAGCAGAGCCATGCGCTTGGCGGCGCCGATGATGTCATTACCCTGCAAAAACAGTCGTCGTTTAACTCATCCTCACGTTCTATAACAAATCCTTCCCTCGCGGGTCAAAATGACCCGGAGCCCAAAAAATACACCTCATTTTTGGTCCAGAAAGCTTATTTTGTTTGTAATGCATTTTTTTTGGGAGATTTTTTGTTATATTTTATTTTATTTACCTCTAAATTACTAGATTTTATAAATAAATAATAATTTAAGCACACACATTCTTTCAACTTAAATTCAAAATAACTCACAATTGCATGCATAACCCTTTTAATTCAGCTCAAAATATCTTACATTGGGAGTCTTTGTCGACCTCTTGTGGGAAAAAAAAACATATATAACATCATATTTCATGACTCTAGCCACTAGATGGCCTTGTATCTTTATATGTTGCAAATGATCTGTTCTGCTGGGTCCTAAAGTCAGTTTCTCTTCAGTATGCATTCAGATACACATGTAGACATTATAAAATATTTTTTTGGTAAAGTTTTAGCATTTTTAGTTTGAATTTTGAGCATTTTTAGTTTTTTCTATGTGTACTAAAGCATTCCTCGCATTCCATTCAATCCTATGGGGGTCAAATTGACCCGCGAGGGAAGGGTCTTTTTTAAACTTCAACCACAAAACTCCTCAAATCCATAAAATATTTTCGGAGTGTATTCGTGGTTCAAGTGCGACAAAAGCCCCTCCGATTGAACACTCAATTTGTAAAAAAAAAAAAAAATAGAAAAATAAAATAAAACCATTCCGGGTCAAAATGACCCGAAGGAAGGATGAGGGTTTAAATAACCCCCGCATGGACCAAAACCCATCCGGCAGACTCTTTGGCACTGACCTTGCTGGACCACTTGCGGGCCTCGTCGTGCAGCTGCCGGGCCGCCACCATCATGGGCTCGCTGATCACTTCTCCGGCCTGCGTCTCCGGGAACTCCTCGTCCTTCTCCTCGGGGGGTGGAGGTCTGGGCGGAGGCACTTCACCCTCCGGCAGGGGCGGTTTTGGAGGAGCCGCGGTGTCGCTGATCTGAAGGAGAACCCGCGTTCATGTTTAAACTCTTGCCTGTGTAATGAGTGTGTGTGCATGTTTCACGTGGTGAACAGGTTCAGTAGTGAGGCGTGGCCTAAACCAGCTCACACGATTTATACAGTGTGTATTGAAGCAGTCGATAGAAAGAAGCAGTCAAGCAACAGGAGGTGACAGTAAAGCCCCTTTCACACAGCGCGTTGATACCGGGAAATAGCCAGAACGCATACTGTGTGAACGCAAACACGACCCGGGATTGATGCCGGGCTGGGGACCTAGTAACATTGCCGTGTTCGGCCGCTGTGTGAACAAAAGTCGTAATGATGACCCTGAAGCCAGCTATCGATCGCCAGCGCGAAACGTTGCGTAATGCGCTAGTTTATGATCGAATTAGAGAAAAAAAATGCACAAGTGTGGTTGCAGCTCATAAGCAAACTTAAGACGCGGCTGAGACATTAGGCTACATGTTACAGCGATGTCACGTGTCTTTACGGGTTGTGTGTGGACAGAGCAAGGCGAGCATTTGTGCTTATAAAACTTAAAGTTTTTTATTTATTTTTGAAATGAGCGATGGTTTCGCTAGATAAGACCCTTATTCATCGTCTGGTATCGTTTAAAGCTGCACTGAAACTGTCATTTGGACCTTGAACCGTTTGGACCCCATTGAAGTCCATTATATGGAGGGAAAATCCTGGAATGTTTTCATCAAAAACCTTCATTTCTTTTCGACTGAAGAAAGAAAGACATGGACATCTTGGATGACATGGGGGTGAGTAAATATCACCAAAAGTTTTTTTTAAAGTGAACTAATCCTTTAAGTGCAGTTGTAGTTACTAGGAAACAGTGTTTGTTTACTTTACTTTATTGTACCATTCCTGGGAAATTTGTCTTGGACAACATGACACGGCCAGTACACAACTTCTATCACACACACAACACAGAACATAGCATACAATAATTAGAATATAACAACATTCCAATAATAAAAACTAGCATCAAAAATCCTCGTTGTTTACTGTGCTCATGAGCTGAAATCTGAATATTGTTGTGCTATTGTTCATTTAAAGGGATAGTTCACCCCAAAATGTAAACTCTGTCAGTAATGACTCTCCCTCATGTTGTTCCCCGTAAGACTTTCGTTCATCTTCAGAACACAAATTATGATATTTGTGATTAAATCTGAGAGCTGGATCACTCCTCCATAGGCTTCTAAGGGATTGAAACTTGCCGGAAAAGTTATTAAAGACATCGTTAAAATAGTCCGAGTGACTACAGCGGCTCAACCTTAAGTTTATCAAGCGACGAGAATACTTTCTGTGCGCAAAACTTTATTCAACTATTCATGTTCTTCTCTGTGGGCCTCGAGTGAGTTCATGTAGTGTAACAGCGCAGCGCTTCTGGGTTGCACGTCACACGCAGGCTCACTATTGGCCGACGCTGGTCATGTGTGTGTGTGTGTGTGTGTGTGTGAGACGTACAACCCAGAAGCGCTGCGCTGTTACACTACGAGAACTCACTCGAGGCCCACAGAGAAGAACATGAATAGTTGAATAAGGTTTTGCGCACAGAAAGTATTCTCGTCGCTTGATAAACTTAAGGTTGAGCCGCTGTAGTCACTCGGACTATTTTAACGATGTCATTAATAACTTTTCATTGATAAAAGTAAAGTGTAAAAGCATGTGTGAGTCTGCGGTGGATCTGACCTGCAGCTGCTCCAGGTCTGGAGGTGGAGGAGGGAAGTCTGGCTCCTGAGGCTGGAACGACTCTCTCACTTTAGCCACGGCACTCAGGATCTTATAACCCGAGTCCAGGAAGCCCCTCTGAAGGCCTGGCGAGGAACACAAGGCTCATAACTAGGGCTGAGCGATTAATCCAGACAGAAAACTAAATCTGTTGTGTGAGATATTGCCAAAAACGTACATCTCGATATTTTCTCGGATTTTATCGATAACGATAATTTTGCTTATTTGTCATTTGGGTAACACTTTACAATAAGGTTAATTAGTTAACATTAGTTAATGTATTAACTAACCATGAGCTATACATTTGTTACTGTATTTATTAATCTTTGTTAATGTTAATCAAAAATACAGCTGTTCATTGTTTGTTCATGCTAGTTCACAGTGCATTAACTAATGTAACAAGATTTTAATAAAGTATTAGTAAATGTTGAAATTAACATTAACTAAGAAAATAAATGCTGTATAAGTGCAGTTATAACTAATGTAGTTTACTAATGTTAACCAATGAACCTTATTGTAAAGTGTCACCGTCATGTGTTTGTAGTGCTGGTACCTTGGCAGGTTTAGGACTGCCGTTGACAGCTGACTCCTAAAGGTTTTGATGTTCTTCATAATCTGTGTGGTGGTCAGTTCGCAGCAGTGACACAAATGATCTTTTCCAATGAGTTTAAATAGATTTTTATTTTTCCTTTACCTTTATAAAGCCTTATTTTTAGCCTAATTAAATGTATGCATCAGTTTTGGTCTCAAATTCTTACAGTTAATTAATCAAATCAATTAGAATAAGACGACACTAGGGCTGTTGCCAATCAAATGAAATCCGTATCAACAAAATTGATCTTTGCAATGCAGAGAAGCTGCACATACACTGACTGTTTAATGCAGACCAGAGGGACATTATGCAGAAATAATGTTTTGATGCTCTAAACATAAAACATTGAGTATTGATATTTTGGAATGATTAAAAAAATGTAAAGATACTTCAAATGTGAAATTAAAACCGCCAGTAGGTGGCAGCAAGTCACTGTTAATGAGTGAGTCATTGAGTTTCAATCGATTCATTCGAACGGGTTGATTCATTCAGGAACGAAGCATTTGACTCATAGATATCCATAATAAAGGCTAGATGTCTCGTCCGCGCTGCTGGCCAATGGAGGTCGACGTCCGCACTGGCGGCCATCTTGTCACAGGCAGCTCGCTCACTCGTAACATTGTGTTTTAATGGCTCATGTACTTTTTAAATAACCATAACTTGCTCCATTTTCTACCGATTTTCAAACAGTTTGGTTTGTTATAAACGTCAGAGATGTAGTTATGACACTGCATACTTATGAATAATAAGTGTATCAATAAATAATCATCCAGAATTATAGCCACGTTAATAACGTTTGTAAGAAACCAAACCGTTTGTAAATCCGTCAAGATTTCAACGAGATAAGAGTATTTGTGTTGGTGCTGATCACTCATCTTACATCAGGCACCACAGAGCCCGCCAGAAAGCTTGCCTGTGACAAGATGGCCGCCGGTGATGACGATAGAGACTCCGCCGTAAGACAACTAGCCTTTATTATGGATATCTATGATTTGACTCTTAATGAGTAAGTCATTGAATCATTCATTCAAACGATTCGCATTCATTCACTGCCGTGTGTTGCTCAGAGATTCCTGTGGCTTTATTTGGAACTATATTCGTTGGCAAAATTGGAGCAAAAACAGGCAATATTGTGTCTAAAATGCAAGTCACTTACTATTAACTTCTTGTTTATTGAACCGTTGTATAAAATCAATATCATATTTGTAATCATGCTGATATTTGGAGAAATAAGGTACTCTTTTGTGTGATATTAACTAAATTATATAAATATAAAAGACATACAGATGCATTTTAATAGAGTAAATCACACAGTGAAAGTGTGCGCTCTAAATGCACAAGCGCACTAGTCTAACCTACTAGACTACATCACGTCGTAGTGTATGTGTGCGATCTCTAGATGTGTTTATGTAAAGTGAGGGACTAGGGGTGGGCGATATGGCAAAAATATCATATCACGATTTTTTTCAGGAAAATCACGAGTAACGATTTTATCACGATTCTTTTTCATGTTGGTTTTACTATTTTGCAAGTGACTGAGCATTACAGCCAAACTAATGTCCCTATTTTAAAAAAAAGCCTTATAGGTAACAAAAGAAAAATGAATGGCAGACATTTAGGCCAAAGTGTCGAAGATAAAAATTATCATTATTTTCTTTGTTATTAAGAATTAGGAACAAAGATACACATTAAGCATACACAACTTAATATACAAATGAAATAAACAGTGCTTTATTTTTTCAGCTACAGTAGGGGTATTTAACAGTAGCATTGAAGAAAGTAATTAGGCTAAATGAACAAATACGAAAATAAAACACAACATAGACTTCACTGTATAAATTATTCATTGATTATTATTAAAGCTACTACTAAAGTTCTCAGTCAAGAGCAGTGAGTGATTTCCTCTTTGTGTTTTGTTGTTTTATTAACATTAAAGGGATAGTTCTCCCAAACATTTTAATTGTCATCATTTACTCTCTCAAGTTGTTTTAAACCCGAATAAGTTTCTTTCTTCTGTTGAAAATAAAAGTTATTTGGAAGAATGTGTCTAACCAAACAATTGCTGTACTCCAGTGACTTCCATAGTATATGTTTTCCTCAATGGGGACCAGCAACTGTTTGGTAAGCCACATTCTTCCAAATAACTTTTATTTTCAACAGAAGAAAGAAATGAATACAGGTTTGGAACAACATTAGAGTGAGTAAATAATCACAGAATTTTTATTTTTGGGTGAACTATCTCTTTAAGGACAAGAGGCAGCTTGTTTACTAACTGGCTACTGTCGCTTTAAGAGCTGCACGCGACGCGTCTAATATACACGCATTTGACAAGCAGATTTTCTCTCATTTTTTTTCTGTTTGCTTTCACTTTAGACATAACCAACTTTGTTTATGTAAACCTTGTGTGTATTTGACAATATTAGCGCAATAAGACTCGAAAGATAACTTATAACGTAGTCCAGTAAACAGACGCTGTTAGACAGGCTTTTAGTGCCCGTGCTTCGGGTGTATGCGCTCAGAAAGCACACGTCAGAACAGCGCATCAGCAGTGAATTACATGTTTAACCAGCAAGGCTTTAAAGCACATGCAAATAATGAACTTCTGTGAACTGCAGTGTCCCGTTCCTCTGCGTTAACATTTGTTGTATGTTGAGACGGAGCTCGGCGCCAGAACTGCAACTGATAAAATGCACGATACTACGATATTTCTTCAAAAGCAGATCGTGGAGACATTTTAATCGTCCACGATCAAAAACCGTGATATCGCACACCCCTATGAGGGACACACTCGATAATGTCAGATCGCACGTCACAACAACAATCATGATATTATTGTAGACAATATATATATCACACACCCCTAATATGGCTTAGTGTAGTTTAAATAAATATGCGATTTGCAATAAATGGCTTCTTCACAAACTTAATGGTGCCTAAAAATGGGCTTTTGATGGGTGGTTGTTTTCTGACCCAATTCAAAAAGCCCAACTACAAGTCTCTATCATGTAGTGGCTTCCACAATGAAGTGAACTTCTTTCTGCGTGTCTCACCTTGGTCCTGTATGTTGCCGGCCACGGCTTTGGCGTCCATGACCATTGGTGAGATGGTTCTGCTGAGCTCGTCGGAAGCCGCTTTCACAGTTTCTCTGAACTTCGGGTCCTCTGAGTTCTCCACCTCTCGTTTTGCCACCAGCAGGATCCGATTGGCTCGTCGGGCGATGCTGGTTGCCCCGGCGACCAGCATCTGAGGCTGGTGATTGGCCATTGCTACCTGACACTTGTCCAGATCTTTCTTAATGGCGTCTTCTGATGCATCCAACAGAGACCTGGTGTCGATCGCTTCATCCACCAGCCCTGAGGAACAGAGGCAGGATTTGTTCTAGTCGCTTAAATTAATGTAGATCATTTCTGAAAATAATAAACAACAGTAAAAATTGTCCCTTTGTGAACTTATTTCACTTATTTATGTGAATTTCAACCTATTTGTAGTATTTTTTTTCACATCATTTCTTCAAATTTATTTTGGTCTGTTGAATACTGTAAGCACAGCAAATAGTATGAATCGCTTTTGGATAAATTTCTGGCAAAAAATAACCATTTGTGGATCAAGTACTAAGATAATTACTGAAAATAAAATAAAATAATAAATTGTAAATTAATAAAAAAATAAATAAAAAAAATACAATAAATATAAAATTAAATATAAAAAAATTAAATAACTGAAAATAAATACATTAGATAGATTAAAAATAAATAAATTGTAAAAAAACGTAAAATATAGAAAAATAAATAAATGTAAAATAAACAATATACAATATATAAACAATATAAAATTTTATTAAAATTAAATAAAATGAAATAAATAATAATAAACACATTTATACAAACAGATAGATAGATAGATAGATAGATAGACACATACTGTCGATAGATAGAATCCCTTCTGACACAAAGATTATTACTCGAAATAAAATAAAATAATAAAATATAAAATGAAGAATTTTTTTTTTGTAAAATGAAGAAAAATTTATATATATTTTAAAAAAATTATAATAAAATAGAGCAATATAAAATACAAAATAAAATGTAAAAAAAATTAACAAATATAAATACATTTATACAAATAAATGGATGGATGAGACAGAGATGGATGGTTAGATAGATAGATAGACAGACAGATAGATAAAGACAGACAGACAGACAGACAGACAGACAGACAGACAGATAGACAGACAGACAGACAGACAGACAGATAGATAGACAGACAGATAGATAAAGGCAGACAGACAGACAGACAGACAGACAGATAGACAGACAGACAGATAGATAGACAGACAGACAGACAGACAGATAGATAAAGGCAGACAGACAGACAGACAGATAAATAGACAGATAGATAGATAAGACAGACAGATAAAGACAGACAGACAGACAGACAGATAGACAGACAGACAGACAGACAGATAGATTGACAGACAGATAGACAGACAGATAGATAAGACAGACAGATAAAGACAGACAGACAGATAGAGAGACAGACAGACAGATAGACAGACAGATAGATAGATAGACAGACAGATAGATAAAGACAGACAGACAGACAGACAGACAGATAGATAGATAGACAGACAGATAGATAGATAGACAGACAGATAGATAGATAGATAGATAGATAGATAGATAGACAGACAGATAGATAGATAGACAGACAGATAGATAAAGACAGACAGACAGACAGACAGACTGATAGACAGACAGATAGAGACAGACAGACAGACAGACAGACAGACAGACAGGGTTGTCACCTGTCATTTTCTCGACATTGTCGATCCACTGATTCTTCATGGTCTCGAAGTGCTCGTAAGCCGCCTGGTTCCCAGGGTTCTTCAGGAGGATTCGAGCTGCGGAGATGACCTGCGGGACAGAACCAGTCAAGATCACACTTATCACCACGAGGGCAGATGAACGTCCCGCCGGCTGGTGTCCGTTACCTGTGGCGTGAGGTCTCGCGCTGATTTGACGGCGGCCTGGATCCCCTCCACCGTGCTCCTGTTAGCGGTGCCGACGGCGGCGGCTTTCTCCGCGGTGGCGCCCAGACGGCCCGCGTGATTCTCGAAGTTAGCGGCCCGCTCCTCAAACACCTGTTCGCATCAGATCACACACGACCAATCACACAGGAGCAGGATCTCACTCCAGCATTGTCACCATAACCATATATGTATAACCAGTTAGGTTTTTTAATGAAGTTGTGTAATTTTTTGTATGTATTGATTGTTGTTGTTTTTAAATGTTCCAATTGTCTATTTCTGTTGTTTGTAATGTGCAATGGTGGCAAATGAGTTTCCCCTTACTAATAAAGTTTTCTAGTCTGATGTAATCATTAGAGAGTGTGTGTGTGTGTGTGTGTCACCTCTTCTCTGTTGGGTGTGTTTGGCGGGGCCGTCGCTGCCACAGCCAATAGTTTGACAGGTGTTGTCGTGTCGCTGAAGATGTCAGACACTTCTTGAGTCATGGCTTCCTGCATTTTACCCTTCAGATCCTGCAACAAACAATATATTTTCAAATGTTAATTATTCCTGTGATCAAAGCTGTATTTTCAGCATCATTACTCCAGTCTTCAGTGTCACATGATCCTTCAGAAATCATACTAATATGATGATTTGGTCTAGAGAGGAAGTTTCATATTCACTCACCAGCAGGGGGAGCTCTTTGCTATATTGTTCTGCATGTGTGATATTGAATATGATGGTTGGTTATTCTTTTTAAATAAATAGTGATAATTGTGTATATGCATGTACATTAAAGGGACTATTTTCTGCACTTAGCATTTAAAAAAAAAAGGTTTTATGTGAAGTCCACAAGTTAGTCAAGGTTTCTTGCATCATAATTAGTTTATGATAATTTTCCACTCTCTCTTTATAAATAAACTACTTTTGCTACTGTACCTTTAAGACTTTTATATGTAAACGACCTCTGTTACATTGTTATTGTTAACTAAAATAAATAAAACTGTTTACATTAATGTATGTATGTATATATGAATGTATATTGAATATTTATTCAGTGTTTATATATATATTATATACACATATATATGAAATTAAAATGAAAACTGAATATCTAAAAATAAAAGCTAATTAAAAAAAATAAAGAAATAAATAGCATATAGATGTAATAAAATCCCTCTGTTATGATAGTTCACACGACTTTATCAAGTCATTAAAAACTGAATGTATGTTTACATGTAAATGATGCTAATGAGCTCTAGATCTGTTGTGATGTGAGAATATTTCTGAATGTTGTTTTTGGAGATCAGGCTGAACTGGGAAGGAGGTTCTTGTATAGTTAGCATTCGTACAGCGGTCGATGTCTTACTTTGAGAGTGTCCTGCAGCTGGTGAGCGATGGCGCGGGCCTGTGGACCGTCTCCCTCCCCGCGGGCCGCTAGCTCGGCTAACTGACCCATCAGATGCTCCACCTCCTCACATTTACCCAAGAGCTCATGCCTGTGGGACGCCGGCAACGCATTGGCCAGGCGACGCCCCTCAGCAACCAGCCCACGAATAGCAGCCTGACCTACAGGTACAAATGACAATGTTGCTGTTTGCACATGAAAAAGGTTCCCAAAGTCCCTCCAGCGGGAGTTCTTCTCTATATCAGTGTCAGTGTTTCTGAACTCCTGAAACGCCTCCATTGTAGTCTTGAGTTTCTTCCGGGAACACGTCACAATATTCCTCATTTAAATAATTAATACGCAGAATAAATGGGCGGGGCCTGGTTGAGTTAGTTAGTAGTGTGTTGAAACCAAGCGGCAACCTCCAATCTCTCTCTTGAATCCAACACAGAAGTGTCTTAAACTGCAGTTCATCCACTGGCCACTAGAGACAGGTTTCAATAGAGAGTCAATCCCATAAACCCCCATGTTAAAATGCCCAACTTTACAGCAGAAAAAAACATGTTTACAGCCTGGTACAAACAGCGGTTTTGGTCTATATAGCTAATTTTGCCCTTCATGACGACTGTGAGGGGGGTGAATTGTTTTATAACTCATCTGTTTAAATTATATTTAGCCTTAAAGTTCTGCATAAATAAGGGCGTGGCTACTTGAGTGACAGGTGGATTGCCGCTGATGTCACTACTAGCCGTTTGTCTGCTGTCTGTTAGCGTCACGTCACCTCAGCTAATCCGCCTCGCTGCACATTTTCGGTTATCTGGGAGTGACGCGCTGCCAAGATGGCGACCAGGCTCCGCCCACTTTAGGCTTCAAATGCTCTTCAGAAACACTACAGGTGACGTCACGGACACTACATCCATATTTTTTTTACAGTCTATGGTATAAACTGGTGGTTATGGGAAGGGGCGGGACATTTCCCAAACACGCTTGAAGCACTTGACCAATCACAACACACTGATCCAGCCGACCAATCAGAGCACAGTTTGCTTTTCAGAAGGAGGGGCTTCATAGAGACAGGAACTAAACAGAGCGTTACTGACAGACTGGGAGGAGACGAGCCGCAACAATGGAGAATATAAACCTTCAAGCATGAAAACATACAAAATCAAGACTTTGTAAAAGGGCATAATAGGTCCCCTTTAAAGTAAACTGTAGTTTTGATGCCATACGAGAGGCTGACGAGAGACGCACCGACTCCGCTGTCGTCCAGCGTGGGGTTGTCGATCCATCTCTGAGCCTGCTCGATCTTGCCCTCCAGGTGAACCGCTGCTTTGGCCGGGCGAGTGTTGGCCACGGCTTTGCTGGTTTTGGACTGTAGATTCTGCAGAGCTGTGGCGATCTGTTTGGCCAGCGCTCGAGCCTCAGGGGAATCACCCTTACCTCTGAACACACAGCAGGGGAACACAAGATGAGCGTGGTACATCTCTCTGGGTCAGGCTCGTTCACAGTGACGTTCCACTAAAGCCTCATTCAAGCAGGAAAGAAATTAAATCATCTAGACCCCACATACATACATACATACACACACATACATGCATACACACACACATACACACATACACGCATACATGCATACACACATACATACACACATACACACATACATACACACACACACACACGCATACATGCATACATATATATATATATGGGATTATAAATATAATTTATAATTATTATCTAATATATTATATATATATATATGATCAATAAAGGGTTATATGTAGGGTCTCTCTAAATAAATATTATTTAAATATTATTTTTATGTTATTAAATTATAAAAAAAAATTAAATGAAAGAAGAAATGTATTACTATAGTAATAATGCTGTTGTACTGTAAAATTAACAAATTAAGAATTGAATAATAATAATAAAAATCATTGGATTAATACAATCAAATGTTTAAAAGATACTTTAAAAGTTGTTCTTGAAGAACTTAGTGAGAACTAACACAATTTAATACACTTCTGAATATTTTTAAAAATATAATAGAACATTCAAACATTTTTGATTAGCACATATAACATGTAAATAATATTAATATTATCTATCTTTGATTTTAAAAAAATATTGTTTTTGATAAAATTATTTAAACAAATGTTAAAAAAAATCAATATTATTTTTGATTACATTTTTTAAACTAATACGTTCAAAAATGTAAAAGTAAGCATTTGTTAAATAATAATAATTTAGTAATTGTAATTAAATGAATTATTTTAAAATTAAGTAAATATTTTTAAATTCAAGTACAGCAACGACGTCAACAACACACACACACACCAGCTCATCTGACTCATGTATTATATTATATACAGACACCATGTGCAGAACCTTTGAACAACCGTTGCCTAGCAACAGCCAAACAGTCAACAGTCAAACAATGGGAAAGCAGGATTCCTCATGTGCGAAGCAGTGGAACATCACACTCATATTCCTAAGATTCGGGCCAAAGCCTTCAACTCAAAGTCAAGATGTTGGAGGAGTACGTACGCTTTCTTGAGCTCTGAGAGTTTGGCGGTGAGCGCGGAGATCTCGCTCATGTTGCGCAGGATATCGTCGCGCTCCTTGGGATCATCGCAGAGATCCGCGATCTTCCTCGCTTCTCCCAGAAGAGCCCTGATGTTCTCCTCTCCTTCGGGACCCGCGTGAGGATCCGCCAGCCAGTTCTGCCGACACGAAACACAAACACTGCTTACGCCATGCTTTGGATGCCATCAAACTCTCCATCTTGCAAAGATTGAATCGCATTTAATTTGGTCAAGTCACCTTCATTTATATAGCGCTTTCAACTATATAGATTGTTTCAAAGCAGCTTTACGGTGATAATATGAGATTGTTTCGGCTTTGCAGCAGCTCTAGAAGAAAGTTATTGTCCAGCTAAAGTTAGTTTTGATTGATTCACTTCCGTTGCAAAGATCATTCGGTGACTAGTTCTTCCTCTGAAGTGCTTTTTGTACCCAGTAAATACAGAATGTATGCAATCCAATCAAAATCAAACTGAGGCCTTGTCCACACTTATAAGTTTTGGCCTTCGGTTCACACTGAGACGGCGTTTTTATTAACGAAAACAGCTTTTTGAAAACGCTCTCCAAAGTGGATCAATTTGAAAAACGCAGTTTGTAGTGCGTTTACATAGTTACATTTGTAGTGTGGACGATGTAGTATTTAAAAACGATGACGTAAGTTTAGTCATGTGACGCACATTGTACCAATGGATATTAATGTGTATTGTGCCTGTGTTATATGCTTTTCACTTTCACAGTTGCTAAAATATGTTACTTTGCACACTCTTCATATCACAGTCCTGCAAAGATGACAGATAGCGTACTCACATTTGCTGAGAGCAGTTTCCGTTTTAGACCAAACATATAATGGTGAGTGAGTGAGGCCTGGACGCTTCAGTGAATGCAGAGATATTTAGCTATAATAGAAGAATTGCGCGATAACTTTATTATGTATTTTTCCTCTGTATCATCTCAGTGAGCTTTCGTGAGGTGAATTAAGCGTTTTCAGGCGTTTTTCAAAAGTTTCTCATCCGCACTGAAACATCGGAAACGCTTGAAAACGCTAGTGTGGACGGAGAGCATTTTTAAATGAAAATGCCGCTTTGAAATGTATCCGGAATAATGTAGACCAGGGATTCCCAAAGTGTGGTACGCGAGCTGCCACCAGGGGGTGCGCGAGAGGAAAAATGTAATGGCGGTGTTTTGTAAGTGGGATTTTTCCATACAATAAAATAAAAACCATGAACAGTAAACATTTCCTTTGTAATCGCTTTTATTTTAAATAAAAAAACTATAATTTATTAGTTTTTGATAGAAACGTTGAAAACAGCTGCTGTCTTCTACGCACTGCTCTGCACTGCAGCCGGTAACGTGACAGATATGCTTTCGCATGTTGGCTGGCGCTGAGCCAGTGCTGTCATATATCACAACCATTGAGTGTTTTCAACCACATAATGTTTATTTTAGGTTTCAGACATTTAAATACACATAAACACTAGTAAAACAATGATTTTGATTTTGCTGATTTCTATGGAAGCGTTTTAAACGTTCTATGCGACACGTTTTATTCATATCAGATACACATTGTGTACGTAGCTTCACATTTTACCCTATTCTTCTCCCAGTTCACCGGCCTCTTACTTTCATGTATTTCGTGAGAAGTGGAGGAATTGACGTCACGTGTTGTAAATCCAACAGATCCGATTCTCTGAACTGTGGCACAAACTAACGATCGTCATGAAGGTGTTTGAACAATAAAACACATCCACTTGCACATATTTGACAATCGGAATATCAATGTTTCATGCTATAGCTAATACATTTGTGAATATTTTTGATAAAAAAGGAAAAATGACATAAAAGCAGATCCTCATTCATTCAGCGCTGTGTTGTGGTTGCGTTGTGTCACGTGACAAGGAATGACGCATCACCATGGAAACATTAAAGTGACAGGTTCTAAATAACGGTCGCCTTGAAAAACTCACGCTGGGGGGTCAGTTAGATTATTTTAAACTTATGTGTGAAAGGGTTAAAAGTGGAAGCTTGTGCGTAGCTTTGTTGCATTATATTGAAACTTTGTTGATGATGTTATTGTCATGCGTGTTCTGGTTATTAGCGCATGATTAAACATGAGTCTTTATAGGGCGATAAAACAAAGCTTTGTTGCATTTTTTTTTGGAAGTGGGGATTGGGGGTGCGCCAACCCGGTTGGGACATAGAAGGGGATGCGCAGGAAAAAAAGTTTGGGAACCGCTGAGACGTAGCCTTAAGTACACACCGAGACGAATATCGGCGCGCGTTATTCGCCAGCGTTTTTCAAAGCGTTTTTTGTGTTCACACCCAATCGATTTTCGCTGACGATGAGCCGAGTGAACATGCCAATTCATTCCCTGACATTAGATGGCGCTTAATGTAAAACAGAAATAGTCCCATGTTGTAGTCGCTGTCGCGTTTGTCATATAGTTCTTTATGTTCCAAGACCAGCAGCAGCTCTACATTCATCTGGCCTCGCATCTTCCTCGTCTTATTTCTTCCCGGCAGTGTAGTCGCTACTTGGTGTAACCCCTCCACCCGGGTCCTTCTCACCCCGCTCTGAATACAGTTACACTGGCGTATATCTTCTTCGCCGTTACGTATGTGTGCTCGGCAAGACCGTTTTGTGTGCGAACGCCCCCAAGTTGTGTTTTACTGTAACTTCAGAAGCTCCAGACACGTGAGCAAAAGCGCCAAAATCTCATTGGTCGGATAGTTTTTGACGCGGTGCGTCAAACCAAAAAAACGAACCTGAAGCGTTTTTTTTAAAAATGGCGTTTTTCGCTTCGGTGTCCACACTCACATTGGCGCCCTTTGTTTAGTCACGAGGCGTTAAACGTCTGGTGTGAACAGGCCTTTAGGCTGTGTGTCCACCAAAGCGCTTTTTCACATGGCTGGCGTATTTTGTCAATTGTTTTCAATGGGAGCGCTGTGTTTTTAAAAGCTATAAGCGCAACGAGGCACTGAAGCGCTGTGCGTTTTTTACCGGTCGCCGAGAGTTGAAGAATGTTCGACTTTGGGTAAAACGCACTTTTTACCCAGCCGTCCAATCACAGTGGAGGAGGGGCGGGGCTAATACAACACCGACCAACCGCCACATTCTGCTTGTACAACGTCAACAGACGACAACAACAAGCATAATAATTTAAAACAAGAGCCAGAGAAAATACGTTACATTATATCGACATTTTAATATAGAAACAACACAGAAACAAACTATTTGTGAAATGAGATTTTCGCGGATATCCCGTATCATAACAAGCAAAGTGTCTCAACTGCCAAAACGCTCTCAAGCGCTCATAGCTAGGCGTTTTCAGCAGGTTATAAACGCTTCGGTGGACACGCGGCCTCAGACAGGAGTGGGATTCATCCAGACAGGACGTGTTCCCAACAGACACACTCACCTGAGCGGCGTCGATTCTCTTGGCGATGGCTTGTTTCGAGCCGGTCATGGCCTCCAATTTACGCGCCGCGTTTTCCACTTTCCCCGTGAGAACATCCAAACCCTGAGAAACCTGCTGTGCTTTCTGCATGGCCACTGGACTCGCTCCCTGACCCCTGCGAGGACACACACATTAAACACACCAAACACAACTAAAAAAACACTGTGTTCCGGTTTCACAGACAAGGATTCGGCCTTTAAGAAGCTTTTATAAACGTGCCTTAGAAAAAAACATTACTGGTGTGAATCTTGAGACAAAACAATGACACTGACTGGTAAACTTTATTTATATATATATAATATATATGATCAAGATATGCTTTCAGTTGAAACAGCTCAAACATGCACTGTAGTCCAGGGGCCGGTTTCACAAAGAGAGACTTTGACTACGGCTTAGATATAGTAGATAGTCAGACTTCAGATAGACGTCTAAATCAGACCGTTGCACAAAGCACTGAAGACCCTGACTATCTTAAGTAGGACTACACTGCAATGCATTCTGGGTAAAATAAGACACTTTTCAAAACAAAAAACATGGTGGATTGAGCAAGCGCATTCAGCCGCTCAGTGCAGTTTACCCCAGCGGAAGATATGTGTGTGTTGGAGGAGTATAACCGTTACAAGGCCATTTTACTTGGGAAATTTAGCAGAGAATGCAGTAACAAGAAGAAATGTTTAATTTGGAAAGGGCCATTTCCCCTTTGCTTTCGGCTGTTTGTAATGTAACTGATTGTTACTGTTGGTTGCCAAGGTAACAGAGTCTTAGACCTGAGTTAGCCTGGGGGAAAGGTGTCAAATTTCTTTGGTCTAAATTAAGTCAGTCTTTGTTTTTGTGAAACTGTCTAACTTGCATTAGACTAGTCTATGAGCACATTTTAGACTTAAGACTATAGACCGGTCTAAAACAGCTTTGTGAAACCGGCCCCAGGACTAGCTTAAGCCTCGTCTGTGGAGCCGGGGGAATGTGTCCCAGATACGGTCAAGCTTTCATGCTAACAACTTTCAAGAAAACAGATGAACATTTGCGGATGGCACTGAAGAAGCCATTTCTTCTCCATCACTAATGGGACCAAATATAATCATTTTGCTTTAATCCGTGCAGCATACAAATTAAATTGTACTATGTATGTCTAAAAAAATATTTAGACATACATACCTTTAAAACTATCTCTGATAAACAAAATATTTTAACATAAATCATTTTTATTATTATTATTTTTTTTTTTGTTAAAAATATTTCAAAGTAAATACTTTATTATCTTTGATAAACAAAATATGTGAATGTAAATATTTTTATTTACGTTTGAAATGTAAATATTTATTTATTTTGATTAAAATACACATCTTTGATAAACATAATATTTAAATTTAAATGTTTAATAATATTTCTGATAATATTTAAACACATTTTCAATATTATTTTTGATAAAAATAATTAATTTCAATAAATAAAAAAGTATTCAAATTAATAATAAAAAAATGTATTACTTTTATTTGATCAAAAAATATTTAAATGTACATACCTATATTTAATATAATATTTTAACTTATTTTGCTGTGCTTCCGCTATGATAAAGAAACATCCACTCTTGCATTTCGGGGGCGGAGCAATGAAGGAGGGGCGTGTCTGTTTGGGTCCAGTTCAAATATCAACAGTTTTCAACGACGATGCTCAGGAATCGCTTACTGCACCTTTAATAGAGGCTAAGTTTATGAAACGGGCCCTGGGTTCAAACTCATCATACCTGGCCCTCAGATCGGACACCTGCTCCGTAAACTGTCCAAGCGTCTTGGCAGTTCCCATAATGTCTCGTCTCTCTTTCCCAGCGCAGAGTTCGCCAACTTTCCCCGCCTCGTCCAGGATCTGCCGAATGGCCTGTTCGCCCGGGTCTCCTGTAACAGCACAACATCAGCACACACTCGCCTGACACGCTCAACACGTGTTTCTGTGTTTCTGTGATGAGACACACACCTGGCTGGGCGTGAGGGTCCCGGAGCCAGTTCTTCGCCTGGGCCATTTTAGAGTCGATCAGAGCCAGCGCTCTCTTCATGGCCTCGGTGTCCTGCAAACACACAGCAAAGGTAAAACACACATCTGGTGGAGTCTCTCGCTGATGATGATCAGTATCGTGTGTGTGTGTGTGTGTGTGTGTGGAGGAGTTTGGCTTTTCTTATTTTGTCAGTTGTCTGTGTGATTTATTAATAAGCACAACCTTAATGAATTCAGCCTGAATGTATATATATATATATATATATACACACACACCCACTGTATGTATATATATATATATACACACCCACAGTGTATATAAATATACATATATATATACACACATACTGTGGGGGTGTATATATATATATATATATATATATATATATATATATATATATATAAATAAATGCAGGCTGAATTCATTAAGGTTGTGCTTGAGAAACACACCTGTGTGTGTGTGTGTGTGTGTGTGTGTGTGTGTGTGTGTATATATACTGTATATATACACACTATTTCTATATATATATATATATATATATATATATATATTACACATACTATTTATAATAACTACACACATAAAATACATAATATAGATTAAATATAGATAATTAAATAGTTACATAATATAGATTAAATTAAATATACAAGTTACATTATTACATTAAATTCAATTATTCAGTTCAATTCAATTCAACTTGTAATTACATAAATAAAAATACATAATAAATTACATAAACTACAAAAGATACCCAAAACATTTGTTTTCATAAGTAAATGAACAACAATTGGACACTTTAACAGAGAGAGAGAGAGAGAGAGAGAGAGAGAGAGAGAGAGAGAGAGAGAGAGAGAGAGAGAGAGAGAGAGAGAGAGAGAGAGAGAATGCCCTTTTTTGGTAAAAAGTCATAAGCAGCTGTTGCCTGAAGCTGACTCAGTTTGTCATCACACACACACACAGTTTGTCATCACACACCCACACAGTTTGTCATCACACACCCACACACACACAGTTTGTCATCACACACCCACACAGTTTGTTATCACACACACACACGCACACACAGTTTGTCATCCCACCCACACACACACTATATGTAATTAAACACATACAAACATTCAGTGTGATTTATTCAGTGCTATTGAGGCTGCAACACTTTTTAAGTCCATTTCAAATGCATCACATCGAGAGACGAGCCGTTTAACACTTGTGCAGCGTAAAACCAAAACCCACAAACCTCACAGTTCCTTTCATGGAAACACACACACACACACACACACACACACACACACACACACACACACACACACACACACACACACACACACACACACACACACGTACCAGCTCAATGATCACACCAGCTTTAGTCACATTTATTGATAGTACCCTGGCTAAAAACATCTTACACCAGTCTAAGGTGGTTCTCTGGTCTCCGATAGAGAGATGCTGGGCACCACTCAGATAAACCAGCTTAAACCAGATAAAACCAGCAAACCTACAGCTGGTTTAAGCAGATCTTTCCATCAGGTAACAGTGGAGGTGAAGAACAGAGACAGGAAATGATGTGGAGAATGACCAGGAAATGACATAAGTAAATAACTCAGGTAACTGGTATTATTCAGCACTTCATTCTGACAATATTAGAGTTTTAAATGAGTATTATTATAACAGTGACGAGAGATAGACTGCATTCACACATACATTCACACACACAGTATTATTATAACACATTAGACAGAAAACAGTTCAAGATTAAACACACAAACACTTTATAATAAGAAACACAAGACAGATTAGACCACGTTACAGCCGGACAGAGAAACAGAGCCATCGGTGAGTCCAGCGCGGCCCAAACCTCCAGTTCCTTCTCCAGTGGTAAACACTACAGACTATATTGTTATTAAGCATCCAAAAAGTTCAATCTTGTAGTTATCCATCATTTCTACTGCATGCTATAATTGTAGATTATATTATAATAAATATGTGCGTGTGTATATATATAAAAAAATCATTATTATATTAAAATTATATTTTAATATTATAATTATATTTTTAAAGAAAAATGCATTAATGCAAAGGATGCATTAAATTGATCAATAGTGTCAGAAAATACTTTATATATATATATATATATATATTTCTATCTCAAATTACTGTTCTTTTGAACTTGCTATTCTTCAAAAAAATGCATCATGGTTTCCACAAAAACTGTTTTCAACACTGATAATAATCATAAATGTGTCTTGAGCAGCAGATCCTCATATTAGAGTGATTTCCGAAGGATCATGTGACACTGAAGACTGGAGTAATGATGCTGAAAATACAGCTTTGATCACAGGAATAAATTACAACTTCAATATATTCACATAGAAAACAGATATTTTAAATTGCAATAATATTTAACAATTTTACTGTGTTTTTGATCAAATAAATGCAGGCGAGCAGAAGAGACTTATAAAAAATCTTACCGCCACCAAACTTTTAGATGTATATTATAATGTCTTTATGCCTAAAAATAATAACTGATATACTCATTGTAATTTAATTTTCAATTTTTAGATGACTTGACACTGGAAAAGGAAACATTTCTTAATTTCTGTGATGGCGATTATGAAAAGAAAAGCAAGACAAATGTGTGAGATCATCTAAACAAACTGCGTCGCATTTCCCTTCGAGCACAACTCCATTCTGTTATCCATCACACACACACACACACACACACACGCGCACACGAGCGACGGGACAAACATCCAGTCGCTTCACTCTGAGTCTGATCATCACATGTACAGTAAGCGAGGGCGAGCGACACCTGCTAACACACGGCGAGAGAGAGCATGCGCACAGATCTTACCTTCTACAGGGGGAGGAAAAGAAACCAAGAGAGGAGAAACAAAACACAACTTTTAACAAGAACGAGTGAAAAGATCCATTGAGAGAAAAGACACAAAAAACAAAGAAATAAAAACACCGAAAATCCACAACCACAATCCTAGTTCTCACAAAACCCACATGTGAAAGCTTCCGGCTTCCCAGAAACACTCACTTCCCCGAAACACAGGAACCCATCTCACGAAACCTCAATATATCATCCACAAAATTATAAGGATACATAAGATGTTTTATTTGGGAGCCTATATTAGGACTGATAATATTTTTTTTTAGCATTGTGCCATTATTTTCATGACAATTTAACGTATTTCCTCTATATGTTGTATATATTCTTATATAAATAATACACTTTACAATAAGGTTCCAAATGTTCACATTAGTTAATAAATATATATAATATAATAAAATATATAATATATAATAAAAAATATATAGTTCATTATTAACTAATGTTAACAAATGAGAGCTTATTGTAAATTGTTACCGTGATAATATATTATAATTACAAAAAAAAAACACAAAACTCAAATGTCCACACATTATGGTAATGAATTTTTCAGTAATGAAAATGTGTGGAAAATATGCTTAATTGTCATAACAAAAATTGTCAAAAAAACATTAAATCTTGATAAATATGACAAATATTAATTTTGAGTTTGCCAGTTTTGGTGAGATTGATTCACAGGTCTGAGAAGCTTTTAAAAGTGTGATATGCTGATATGTTCATGCATCAGCCAGATTCAGTGTCAGCTCTTCTGAAACCAGGTTTCTACGGTCAATCCCAACTCTGTTAAACAGCATCCTACTTTATCCTCTCTCAAGAGCATGCCAGCAAAACCCTTTTAGATGCGCGTGTTTGAGGCCACAGAGTCCAAAAGTGATGTGGAAGGACTTCTGGAATGGTTTGAGACCAGTTCATGTGTGGACGTTTGCACATGCCCATTCCAGCCCGAAAACACACACAAAAGGCATACATAATGCAACACACACACACACACACAAACATCTGTATTTGCAGACATATATCACACACTCTATTTCAAATCTTTCTCGTTTAGAACAACACTATGTGTGCATGCATGCATGTGATGTGTGTGAAGTGTAATATGTATGAGATCCGTGCATGCGTGTGAGCAGACAGTAAACCTGTGCGAGTGTATGAAGCCAGAGAACTATCCGTGCACATGACGTCACGGTGACCTTTGCCCTCTCACACACCTTATTGGCCCAGGCGTCCTCGTCCCAGGACGTGAGCTGCAGCACGCGGATGATCTCGTGGATCTCGGTGCTCATCTTCTCCACGGTGAAGTTCCTGTTCTTCAGAGCCTCTTCCACACCCTTCCCCTGGGACGTCCTGGTCGTCACGAAGATCTTAATGCCTGCGTGAGACGCCAGAAGACACGGTGTGAGCTTCATACGAGCTTCAGCGCAATAAACCACAGCATCTCAGGTCTACTGCAAACTCCATTCATGTTTGATTTACTGATACATACAATACTGTTCAAAAGCTTGGGGTCGGTAAGACTATTTCATCTCGTCTGCTCACCAACGCTGCACTTATTTGATCAAAAATACAGTAAAATTGTGAAATATTACTACAATTTAAATTTTCTATGTGAATATATAGTAAAGTGTAATTTATTCCTGTGATCAAAGCTGTATTTTCAGCATCATTACTCCAGTCTTCAGTGTCACATGATCCTTCAGAAATCACTCTAATATGAGGATCTGATGCTTAAAAAAACATTTCTCATTATTATCAATGTTGTTCATATTTTTGTGAAAACCATCATAAATTTTGTTTTTCAGGATTCTTTGATGAATAGAAAGTTCAAAAGAACAGAATTTATTTGAAAATAGAAATCTTTTGTAATATTATAAATGCCTTTACTGTCACTTTTGGTCACTTTAAGGTAATCATTTATATTTATATTAATTTAATATTAAGGTATTTTAAGGTAAAATGAATTAAATTATTTTTTTAAAAATCTTACTGGAAGTATATATATAATATATATGCAAACAACTGGAAAGTATAGAGCTATAATGCAACTCCATAAACTCATAAATAAACATTTGCAAGAAAACAATAGCAGGACAATGCAAAATATTTCTGATTGGTTATTCTCAACACATTCAATGCATCAATGTACTGTATATGTAATGCAGCTCCAAACTTTTGAACAGTAGTGTATAGGGATGTGACGATTCACTCATCTCACGATGCGATACACGATACTGGTTTCATGATATGATTTTCTCACGATTTTTTTAACAAATGAGATGTAAGACAAAAGTGTCCCTTTTATTATTTCTCAGACAAAATGCTGCACATTTCTTTTTAATTTAAAATATATTTGTCAAATAATAAAACTACATTAAAAAAATTCCCTTCGAGGTTGTTTCAACTCAGTCTCTCTGTCTGTTTGGTCGAGAGGCTGGACACTGGTACCTTCGCACACTATGTAAAAGACTGTGTTTAAATTAGTACCAGATTGACAGGGGTTTTACATTGTAATAAAGGCAAGATTCTAATTGTGTTATAATTCGTATCATTACACTAGTAAGAGTTAAAAAAACACACATTTAGAGAAAGGGATAGTAAAATAAATACAACACCTGGTTGCCACGGAAACACTGATGCACCTTGTGATCTCCGTGGCTCTCACAATTGGCCCTTCGCTAAGCCACGCCCGAAAACCGCCACTGGCCAATCATGGCTTAGCAACCGTAACTAGGCGCGGGAGGTCTGTCAAGCTTTCGAGCGAGGGAAACATGCCGACGCGTTGTGTGCGTATGGCTTGTGCAAATCTAATACCCGGTATCCTAAAAGTTTGGACGGTGGGGTGGCATTTTTTTCCCTTCCCGAAACATAAAAGCCAAGGGGAGAAATCCCGGGCGTGGATCAAGCAGTGTGGAGACCCACTCACAACTAAATGTCGACAGGATTGAAAAAAACAAACACCTATTGCTTGGAAATAATGGCGGTTCTTTGTTCATAATGCATATATTTGAACGTAAAATAAGACGATTAAAGGCAAGACGGAGGCTCACTGACATACTTTAAAATATATTTCAGCATTTTGTTAATCGACGGCCTACTAACGTTAACGTTACCCCTGTAACTTTACCCCAATCCGATCGCGGCTCTCCCGGTGTTAGATTGATGGATAAGCTGTTTGATTTGTAATTATTAGATTATTTTCACATTTCACTTACTCTGCTGTGCATGAACATAGCTGTTCCTCAATTTGTGTGTTTCCCATGTGAATGGTCTGCTAAGGAGGCGGCTGCTGCTTGCGCTGGGACCTAACGTTCATGTTATAGGCTTTAGCTTCAATTTTGATGAATTTATTCTCTAATCGGTTGCATATTATGTCGTGGATATATCCCTCGAATGCATACTGCAGTCCCCTTTGTCTTGCTCTCTCAGATATTTCACCTTTTCGCCAAAAATGACTAATTATCTCCTTGGGAATGTCTGACACCGGTCCATACACACTGTAATAGACGTGGCAGCCGCGAAAGCTTGACAGGCGTAGCAACAGTAACTAAGGAGGGCGGGGCTTAGCGAAGGGTCAATTGTCGTATTAATGACTTTTACATGAAAACGGAGGTGACTGCTGCTTCTCAGTCAAAATGCCGCCACGCCTCCGATTTGAATGAGTCAACATCTACGCTTGCCGTCGCCATGTGTTTGACGGCGCGTGCACACCGGTCTATGGCACACACTGGCGCGGCGCGAGCGGAGCAAACCGTGCGTTTTCAGTTCATCCCTATGGAAGTTGAGCTTGGCTCACACAAGATCAAGTTCCATGAATGAAGTGAAAACAGTCGCTAGCTTCACGCCAGTGTGTGCTCGCTGCTATTGTGCCTGTAAAGCGAGGTCCACAACTTCACAGTAGGCTATGCAGTAAACACCCCTGCTGTTTAAAACGTGTATCGTAGGGCTGGGCGATATGGGCAAAAAAAATGATCACGATAATTTTTTTTATATCAGTCGATATCGATAATTATCACTACAAATGTCAAATCTTTATTTCTTTCAAGTTTTAAGGCAGATTTTTGCACCTAAGTGAAAGTTGTAGAAACCAGAGCATTAATTGTGGTTTTAAACTACTCACAAATCTGAGGTAGAACATTGAAACATTTGTCATTGTTCCTTAACAAAATAAATATCTGAATAGAAAAATATATTTCTTAGTTTCTGCATGTGCTAATGGGGGATATTGTTTCAAGTCTTGTATCTTGTTTCAAGGCACGTATCTTCAGCGCAGTTTGCAGTGCAGGCTGCAATATTAATATTACATTTTTTGTCTCGAAGCACATATTTAACAGTGAGTTGATAGTAAATCTGCATCCTAACTCGAGCTAATACACGTTACTATGTTAAATTTATGTTCATAAACAAAAACAGTAACATCTGTTAAAAAAATGTAACAACCCCATTTTTATTTGGTAAAATGTAATATTCTGACTGTTTGAGTTTTATTAAAATTAACCATTGGTCATCCAATATCATGCATTTAGATCATGATAACCACAGATAAAATCAGACATAGCCTATAACAGCTCACTAGCATGGCAACATTTTACTTTATGGTTTCTATGGTATTTGTAAAAAACGGTAGCCTAAATACATGATTAAATACTGTAATTATATTCCATTAGTCATTTAATACATTGGCTACATTAATAATATAATACAATTCAATATGTATATCCCACATTTCATGGTGCAGTTAATATTACTAGGCTAACGTTACAGTAAATTAATTCAGATGTAAAATCAATTCAGATTCTGACTGTATCGTTGCGCACAGTGTTTCTCCTGTTTGTCAGGGCTGTTTCATCTGCCTTTAAACTGATTAAATCACTGAGACATTTGTGTTCTTCGCTGAACTCAAGCGCTTCTCACTGGATCTCGTGAGCGAGACGATCAGAGTAAACGCGTCTGCTCTAGTGAGCTCGCTCTCGCTCCGCTCGTTCAAATGAGTTTCGTTCCGCTTTTGGCGCATAAACATTATCGAACATTTATCGAACTCTTGATATCGTTTTATCGAGAACAATAATATCGCGATAATTATCGTTTTATCGCCCAGCCCTAGTGTATCGCGATTCGTTGAACATTTCAACCGACTTGAATCGTCACACATTTTTATCGATTTTCAACCGGTTGCGAGTGAATCGTTACATCCCGTTACAGTAGTGTATATTGTGCACTCCTAACGCATCGACTAACACACTAATAAGAGCATTTGAAGCTTCATTGACAGTGATTGCTGAAGTGTGAGGTGTTCGAGGAGGTCAGAGGTCACAGCACACCTGAGATCAGGACGGGCAGCAGCTCCTTCACGGTGTTCATGGAGTTGACCAGCATGACTCTGTGCTCCTGATGAGTTAACTCCTGCTGTCGCTCGTCAATCATCTTGGCCATCTTCGTCATGCCTGTGGACCAAAACACAAACAGTGAGAGGCTTTCATCTGCTGAACTGAGGCGGATTAACCAGATTTTATTTTCCTGAACAGATATGTTTTCTAAAATAGGGTCAAAATTGAGATCCTCTGATTGGATGTAATCATAGTCTGAAGCCCATCATACACTACAGGGTTTTCTGTGAAATCTGTCAACTCTGACTGCCCAAAATCTGCAAAAATCTGAGCAAAAGTCATTAGTGTTTTAAAGGGATAGTTCACCCGATAATGTAAACTAAGTCAGTAATGACTCTCCCTCATGTTGTTCAACCCCGTAAGACTTTCGTTCATCTTCAGAACACAAATTAAGATATTTTTGATTAAATCTGAGAGCTGGATCACTCCTCCATAGGCTTCTATTGTAATTGAAACTTGCCGGCCCAGAAAAGTTATTAAAGACATCGTTAAAATAGTCCGAGTGACTACAGCGGCTCCACCTTAAGTTTATCAAGCGACGAGAATACTTTCTGTGCGCAAAAAACAAACAAAAATAACGACTTTATTCAACTATTCATGTTCTTCTCTGTGGGCCTCGAGTGAGTTCTCGCAGTGTAACAGCGCAGCGCTTCTGGTGTACGCAGGGCTGGACTGGCCATCGGGCATACCGGGCATTTTCCCGGTGGGCCGACGTGCTTTGTGGGCCGATACATCTCATACTTTAATTTTTTTTTTTTTTTTTTTTTAACGGGCCCATAAAACTCGTGCATCGGCGGCCCATTGCGTTTAGTTTTGTTTAATTGGCGGCTCTGGGATCGTAATGCATTGGACAAAAAAGTCAGCGTAGGTTTTTCTTTTTCTCACAGACCGGCGCATGATGAAACGCGTAGATCAGCGGCCCATTGGTTATTTTCTTGATTGACACTGGGCTGGTCCAATCACATCTTTAAATAGCTTTGAGTGAGCGAGCAGTGTCAGTGTGTATCTGTCAAAATAGTCAGAGCGATGGTGAAGAAACGTAAGGAATGTGCAGAGAAATAGCGTGAAAAAAGAAACACTTCAGAGGCCCTTCAAGTGTCTGAAGAGGATAGTGAGGAGGATAAGGAGAGAGATGAGTGAGGATAGTGAGGAGGATAAGGAGAGAGATGAGTGAGTGCAGAGAACTGTGGTAAGCAGAACTAGGCTACTGTCACAACACTTAGGCTATGTAGGAACCCACTACCCAGTTACGCATTATTTCCACATCTGCATATTTGACGATTACGCATTTTATTAGAATTGTAATGAGACGAGTTTGTAAACCATGTTTTCCGTCAAAATAAAAGATCATGTGTTTATCTCTTTCAAGTATAGAAATTAGTACGAAACTAATTAAGAAAGTTGCTTTTATTTTTCAGTGCATTTGTTTTACAACATATGGCTATTACTGCCATGGGATTAATATTATAACTATATAGTAGTGTAATGTATACAGAAACTATATCACAACTACTAAAAGAGTTTTGAGTTTTTCTTTGTTCAATTTGCACACTGAATATGGGATGGAGCTCTTTATTTTTAACTCTCAAAGTGCACTAGATTGATGAATTTAACATTAAAAAGCACAACATTTTCATGGCATTAGTGGTTTTAATAGGAGTTGGTATACATATTCAAGGGCGTGCAAAGTTCGGTTGTGTTTATAATCATATGTTGTGGGCCAGTCTGGGCCGAAATGCCCGGGCCGATTTTTTGTCCCAGTCCAGCCCTGGTTGTACGTCACACGCAGGCTCACTATTGGCCGACGCTGGTCATGTGTGTGTGTGTGACGTACAACACAGAAGCGCTGCGCTGTTACACTACGTGAACTCACACTAATGACTTTAGTGAACTTTAGGTGAATTGGGACGCTGCATACTTTGATTCCATCATACTGGGTAGCTCCGCCCACAGTGAAATATCATTGGTCTAAAATCATGCTCTACATAAAACACGTGCGTTTAAAGTTAAAATGCTTCCTCTTATCCTGACCTGGTCCCAGGTTCTTGGTGTAAGTGATCAGGTCTTCCATCGACTCCACCACCTCAGCGACCGTCAGATACTCCAGAATCCCTTTACACACACGGATGATCTTACGGACCTGAGGTCAGGAGAGAGAGCAGAGACTCTGTGAGTATCGATGCGACATCTCAAACCCAGAGGAATGAACCCTGGAACGGTTTTAAACGCATCATGCCTCGGCCTCGTCGAAGGTCAGGAGCAGATCCGAGGTTCCGGAGAGGATCCCGCGGGAGCCGTCGATCAGATAATCCCGGGCTTGGACAGAATACGGATCGGCCTTCAACATCTGAGCGGCCTGAACCAGTTTAGTGCACGCGTTCTCAACCCTACAGAGAACAACACACACACATAGAGAGAGAGAGATATACTGATTTTCTATACATTTATAGAAAGTTTATGTACATTTCTATACATATTCTGACTTTTTTATACATTCATCTGGTGGTGTAGTGAAGATATACACACTCAGATCTCAACAATAACAATTATCTATGTATGCATGTCTGTGGGTGGATGTTTCCATTAAAAGTTCAGCAGCCCTAAATCACACAGTAGTGACTTATTATTTACAACAAGACTCTCCTACACACTCACAAGCACACACACACTCACACACTCTCACACTCTCACACTCTCACACTCTCACACTCTCACACTCTCACACTCTCACACTCTCACACTCTCACACTCTCACACTCTCACACTCTCACACTCTCACACTCTCACACTCTCACACTCTCACACTCTCACACTCTCACACTCACTCACTCACTCACTCACTCACTCACTCACTCACTCACTCACTCACTCTCTCACACACACTCACTCACACACACACTCTCACACACTCTCACTCTCACACACACTCACTCACACACACTCACTCACACTCACTCACTCACACACACTCTCACACACTCTCACACACTCTCACACACTCTCACACACTCTCACACACTCTCACACACTCTCACACACTCTCACACACACTCTCACACACTCTCTCACACACTCTCTCACACTCTCACACACTCTCACACACTCTCACACACACTCACACACACTCTCACACACTCTCACACACTCTCACACACTCTCACACACTCTCACACACTCTCACACACTCTCACACACTCTCACACACTCTCACACACTCTCACACACTCTCACACACTCTCACACACTCTCACACACTCTCACACACTCTCACACACACTCTCAAACACTCTCAAACACACACACATACACACTCTCTCACACTCACTCACTATTCATCTGTGACTGACTCATCAGGAGGGTTTTGTTGTAGTTGCAGGATTGAGACTGGTGTCATATTTCTCTGTGACAGACTGCAGCTGTGTGTGTGTGTGTGTGTGTGTGTTACAGGACAGCAAGGTCATGAGTGAGTGTGTGAGTGTGTGTGTGGGAGATGTGAAGGCTACAGTAATGCATGTGAATGTTAATGAGCATCAATGCATCAGACCACACACACACAGACGAACAGAAACTATATTTAGAGGGGAAACGTACAGTAGGTCGTTCATTATGTGTGTGTCAGTGTTTCCAGTAATCCATGGGCTCTCCCTGAGCACAGCAGAATGAATCTGTGTGTGACTCACAGGAGTTTCAGGATCAATGCCTCCGCACAGGAGCGTCTCTCTGCATCTCTGTTAAAAGCTAAAGCCTTTAGGACTCGTGTAACATATCATTATTGTAAATACATCATGTTTGAGTAGAACAGGAATGACTCAACGTCTGAGTAAACAGCCGACAAACACCCACAATAACAGCATATCTGTGGGCTTTGAGATGAACAACTCCAAACGTGAACAGATAAACCTCAGTGAACCAGAACTGCTGCTTTAGAGAGGGTTCTGGCTCGTGTCTTAGAAGATTT